CCATGTCTGTTTTGAAATATCAACTCACTGAAGACAGTGGTGTATGGTGGCGCAATTTCGTGGATTGGTTGAATTTAAACATTAATACCGTTAGATGCCGGCCGGCTCAGTGGTCTAATGGTTAAGCGGTCGCGCGCGAGACCGATAGCTCCTGGGTTCGAATCTCACTGGGGGCAGGGTCGTGGGTGCTCACTGCTGGGGAGTCCCGTACTAGGACGAAAAAGCTGTCCAGTGCTTCCAGATTCTCCATGGTGGTCAAGCTTCAATTGACTCATGATTTCAGCTGTTGAATTTACTAAAATCTCCACAAAACCCCTTCTGATTATAGGGAAATATTTACGAGTATTTTCTGACCCTGTTAACGCAAACCATGTTTGATTGAATGATATTTTTTTACCTCGCATTTTGATTCCGTCATTATTCTGTTTTTCAATTCTCCTCAAGCTAAATATAATTCAGCGAGAATTTTGTTTTCGATGAAATCATTTACATAATTTGTATATTCGTATTTATAGTTGTATGGCAGATATATGTCTATAGAACGATAGAAAAGATTGCATCATAAAGGGATTCGAGACTCTAATTACCAAATGAGGTTGCGTAATAATCAGGGGGTTAGAGAAGAATAGGAGGATGAAAATAGTTTACGAGTCAGAATTATAATAGATAATTGTCCATTTGACAGATATGAAGAAAAAGCGAAAAACACAAAGATCATAACAATACTTAATTACGCCTGTTACTCCCAATGGAGCATAGGCCGCCGACCAGCATTCTCCAACCCACTCTGTCCTGGGCCTTCTTTTCTAGTTCCATCCAGTTCTTGTTCATTTTTCTCATATCTATCTCCATTTCCCGGCGTAATGTATTCTTTGGTCTTCCTCTCCTCCTTCGACCTTGAGGATTCCATATGAGGGCTTGTCTTGTGACGCAGTTAGGTGTTTTCCTCAATATGTGTCCTATCCACTTCCAGTGCTTCTTCCTGATTTCTTTCTCCACTGGGATTTGATTTGTACTCTCCCACAGTAGGTTGTTGCTTATAGTGTCCGGCCAACGGATCCGAAGTATTTTGCATAGACAACTGTTAATAAACACTTGTATCTTTTGGATGATGGATTTCGTAGTTTTCCAGGTTTCCGCCCCATACAGTAGAACTGTCTTGACATTTGTATTGAAAATTCGGACTTTGGTGTTGGTTGCCAATTGTTTTGAATTCCAGATATTCTTCAGTTGTAAATATGCTGCTCTTGCTTTGCCAATCCATGCCTTCACATCTGCATCAGATCCACCGTGTTCATCAATGATGCTGGCCAAATATGTAAAGGTTTGTACATCTTCCAAAGCTTCTCCGTCAATTGCGATTGGATTGGTACATGCTGTGTTGTATCGAAGAATCTTGCTTTTCCCTTTGTGTATATTGAGACCTATTGCTGTTGAGAATGCAGCTACACTGGTTGTCTTCTCCTGCATTTGTTGTTGCGTGTGCGATAGAAGAGCCAGATCATCTGCGAAGTCTAGATCATCCAATTGCATCCTAGCTATCCACTGTATCCCGTGCTTCCCTTCAGATGTTGATGTCTTCATGATCCAGTCGATCACCAGGAGAAAGAGAAAGGGTGAGAGTAAGCAACCTTGCCTGACACCGGTCTTTACTTCGAACGACTTTGTCAACTGTCCTCCATGAACGATTTTGCAGTTTAATCCATCGTAGGAATTCTGTATGATATTGACTATCTTCTGAGGCACGCCGTAGTGTCGAAGAAGCTTCCATAGGGTTGTTCTGTCCACACTATCAAATGCTTTTTCGTAGTCAATGAAGTTGATATGGAGTGATGAATTCCATTCAATTGATTGTTCCACAATGATCCGTAGAGTTGCGATTTGGTCTGTTCAAGATCTATCCTTACGGAATCCTGCCTGTTGGTCTCGAAGTTGGGCGTCTGCGGAGTCCTTCATCCTGTTTAACAATACCCTGTTGAAGACTTTTCCTGGTATTGAGAGAAGTGTGATGCCCCTGTGGTTATCACAGTTGCTGAGATCGCCTTTCCTTGGTATTTTGACTAGAAGTCCTTCTTTTCAGTTTTTTGGTACATGTTCCTCATCCCAGATCTTTCTGAAGCGAGTTTGGAGTATCCTTGCAGTTACCGCTACGTCTGATTTCAGTGCCTCTGCTGGAATGCTGTCTAGTCCTACTGCTTTGCCACTCTTGATTTGTCTGATAGTCATGCTGATTTCTTCAATTGTCGGTGCGCCAACATCAATTGGGAGGTCCGTGAGTGCTGCTTCGATGTTGGGTGGGTTCAGTGGGGCTGGTCGATTCAAGAGTTCTTTGAAGTGTTCTACCCACCTGTTTCGTTGTTCTTCAATGTTGGTGATTATCTTGCCTTCCTTGCTTTTCACTGGTCGTTCTGGTTTACGGTGATTTCCGGAGAGTTTCTTTGTTGTGTCATACAGTTGTCTCATGTTTCCTTCTCTGGCAGCCTTTTCCGCCGTCATTGCCAAATCTTCCACATATTTACGTTTGTCAGTTCTGGTGCTCCTCTTCACTTGCTTGTTTACTTCTGTGTATTCAGCCTGTGCCTTGACTTTTTCTGCTCTTGTTCGACTGGTATTGATTGCTGCCTTCTTGTCCCTCCTTTCTTGAATCTTATCTAGTGTATCGATCGTGATCCAATCCTTGTGATGGTGCTTCTTTTGGCCCAGAACCTCATGACATGTTGAAGTGATTGCCTTTTTTATCCCTTTCCAGTTGCTCTCCATAGTAGTTCCTTCTCCATTGAGTAGATCATGAAAGGCCTGGAACTTATTGCTGAGGGTTGTCTTGAATTTGTTGAGTTTGTCATTATCCCGAAGAAGAGCCGTATTAAACATTTGTGATATTGTCCTCCCCGTTGTCCAGTGCCTCTTGAGTTTCAATTTCATCTTGGCGACCAGCAAGTGATGATCTGATCATATATCAGCTCCCCTATTTGTTTTCACGTCCTCCTGAACTTTTTGTTGATGCAGATATGGTCGATTTGGTTCTGTGTGGTGTGATCCGGTGAAGTCCATGTGGTTTTGTGTATGCGTTTATGTGGGAATATAGTCCCGCCTATGACCAGTTTATTGAAGGAACATAGATTTGCAAATCTCTCACCATTTTCGTTCCTTTCTCCCAGTCCGTGTCGTCCCATGATCTCTTCATATCCGGTGTTGTCAATTCCAACCTTGGCATTTAGGTCTCCCATCAGAATAGTCAGGTCCTTTGTTGGGCACTTCTCGACGATTGACTGCAGCCTATCGTAGAATTGATCCTTAGCATCTTCATTGTATTCGTTGATAGGCGCGTAGCATTGGATGACATTCATTGTGATCCCCGTTTTCTTTGTTTTGAAGGAGGCTTTGATGATCCTTGGTCCATGAGATTCCCATCCTATAAGTGCATTTTGTGCTTGTTTGGACAGCATCAATGTTACTCCTTGTGCATGTGGGGCATTTTGTTCTTCATGTCCGGAGTATAACAGCAGCTCCCCTGAAGCTAGTCATTGTTGTCCAACTTGCGTCCAATGTGTTTCACTGATCCTAAGCACCTCTAAATTGTATCTCCTCATTGCTGCAGCAATTTGGAAAACTCTCCTAGTCTCCCACATTGTGCGAGCACTCCATGTACCTAAATAAATGGTTGCTCTGGTTGTCAGAAGGGGCATCGGCCTCGTGACTTCCGAAGAAACTCGGCTTACATCATGAGGCGTCATAACTCTTCTAAACGAAGACCTTCTGACTCCCAGGGCAGAGTTTAAATGGTTTGAATAATTTTTTCTGGTTAGCATTTTTTTAGCGAGTTAGTTTTCTACGGGATGGGGTCGCTAACCCTATGCCCAACCCTCCTCCTTTATCCGGGCTTGGGACCGGCAGTAGCCCCCGGAAGGGGGATCCAGGCGGAGTTCATCATAACAATAAATGAATAATAATCATGAAGAATAATAATAACTGATTAAGGTTTAAGATTACAAAATAATAACCGTTTTGGAAAAAATCAAGAACATATGAAAGAAGGGAATTAGGGTCAATGAAGGATGAGGGTTTGGACGTATTGTTTTTGCACACAGGCTTGAATTGATGGTTCGCCAATGTCTCAGCAGTGAATAAGTTTTTAATTCGATCTCTCTTCGATTCAGTCCATTTGATTGCGCAGATTGTTTTGAAAGAAGACTCCTTCAGAGCGATGTGTTCAGAGTTGATTACGTGCTTATATATTGAACTGATAATTGTTTTGCATTCTCCTCTTAAAAGCTACACCGGGTATTGTTCTGAGACGAGTTTAAAAAATGATCGATTTGTGTGGCCAAAGCATCCTGCCTCACAGGAATAAGTAAACATCGATGTTGCTCAAAGCGGAAGTTTATCCTTAGCACATCTGTAAATTGTAGGCCGGGTTGAAAGATCAAAACAGAGCTTAACTGAATAATACATTTTATTCAGGGCATTTGAAATCCGTTTTTTATAAGAGTTTGGCAGCCGCATCTCCTTTGAATTCTATTTTCATAAAAATGTTTTATTTTGAACTGTCGACGCTTTATTAGAATGTTGTCTTGGTGTTGATACTTCCATTATTTGTGAAGAGGATGAATTTTCGAATCGATTCAATGGTTGTCATCATTCGATTCAATTTACATTGGAGAAAGAGGTGACCGAGGGTTCTTAATGTCCGGTTGAAAAGATGATCAGATGGTTCTATATATAATGGGTAGTGTACAAATTTCTATAGCTGTGTCCCATTGAGTAGAAAGGGAAACTTGATTTACTCTATCCTCTAGGATTAGGCGAATATATTCTAATGACATAATAGATAACTCGACAGATACTCATCAGAAATAGTTATCCACCTATACTTGTCGATAGGACTAATATCGTGCATTTAATAATCTACTTTCCCGTAAATAAATCTACTACAACATTGTTCAAATAGATATTTATCTAACCAATAGGATATAAAGTAAATTTGATTTTAAGAATTCAATGGCAGAAATATCAAAATTCTTGTTATTCCTATTTATAAGCAAAATAAAAAGTATCCAAACGAACAATAAAAATTACATTCAGCTTTGTGGATAAAAAAAGCATCAAGTTTATCATAATTTATGAATATACTGGTCTAATTACATTGCTATGAGATGGTATTGTCAGTTTTCCGGATTTCATTGATGTCAGGATGCAGTTTAATACTTTTGCCTGTTGAAAACTAAAAGCTGCTTGAATTTCAGCTGTGTTTGATTTCGATAAAGATCCGCTTTTAGTTTGTTCATTCATTTCAGTAGACTGGGTGGTTTTAGATGAACATTCAAACAATGTATAACTCCATATTAATGAAAGATTGCCTAAATCCATTTTATTTTGCACTTTATAATTACTTACCCTATAAAAAAATAAATGAATTCGTGATTATTACAATAAATAAATATGACTAACTGCTAATCTGTGAAATATTATAAGGAGAGACCTATTAGCAAAATATATGACAAGTATGCTTAGAATCGTATTGTTTTGTATTCAGTGTTGGAATGTCGACAGTAATCAACATATTTTGTTCAGTATTTGGGCTTGTCATTAGTATTTAGCATAACTAGTAGTAAGTCATAGAATAAATAATACATTGTGACTCAAAGCGTCAGTGTTCATAAACCTAGTCAAAGCAATAAACATCAAATTCTTTATATGATAAGCAACTTCGTATAAAAGTAAGTCAAGTTCGTAATAAATCCTCCCATTTTATTGTGGATGTTTGTAACATTTTAAATGTGAAGAGGAACACAGTTTAAATACTTTGAGTAAAAATCGTCAAATATCAACTTAGAACTTTTGAGTAGCTTTAAACAACCGTTACCATTTATTGTCAACATTTGGCGGTCTCTCGATGAACTACAAACAAGAATACCATCATCTCTATAAAAGAGTTCAGCGAACAAAATGAATTAGTCGCAGTTTCGTATATTGTATGTCTTTGTAAGAAATATATGGCACTTACGTGACTAAATGATTGGCTAAGTAATTGAATGTTTCCAGGTTTGGGGTGGGAAGATTGACAAGGATATCTTCAATGAGTTGACAACGAACGGATTCATCAGGAATTTCTAATTGTAAATGTATATGAGAACAAAAACGAACCAATAAGAAGTCTTATGAAATTCTAGATAGAAAAGTTAGTGTAGAGTTAACTGAAATCCAATTCATGTCATGTGTGATACAGATATCCGTCTCAGTCAATAGATGAAGGGCTGGGCAAGATCGTGGATCAATTAAAGGTAGACATTAACACCGTCGATTGCCAGCTCAGTGATTTAGAGGTTAAACGTTGGTGCCCGAAACCAAAATGTCTTAGTTTTGAGACTCGCATGCAGGATTGTGGATGCGAACTTTTGAACTGTCCCATACTAAAACGAAATGCAAGTTCAATTCTTCCAGATTTCTAATGGAGGTCTGGCTTAGGTTGACTCGTGATTTCAACTGTGAAAATACTACGAACTGCATAAATCCCCATTCTGTTAACTAGAATAATCACAATGAACCACAACAATATGTTTATCATTATATTATGACTGTTATTTCAACCTTAGGAATCGTTCGTGTTTATCGAATTTCAAATAAAATTTCTGTCTAATTCTTATTTTAGTGTGTTAGGTCAATCTATATTGATAAATATACTTCTCGTACTCATAATTTACAACATTAACATTGTGGTACATGAACGGTTACTGACAAACAATTATAAAAAATGAAATTTGTTGTTTTCGCCGTTCTATAAAATATTACATTCAAGAATCAATTACTTGTAGCCTCATACTTTACAGGTTAATTTATCAACTAGTTGAATTTAGTATACATCAGAAAAAGAAGTAAAAGTTCCATAAGCGGGTGCTACTCATTCTTCAGCATATAATTCCAATATCCTAAAAGCTAAACATTTAAACTCTGGTCTTTGATCTGACTAGAAGTCAGGATAGAATTTTAGAGGAATCACCAATATTTAGTGTGTTGTCAATTCATATGATGGGCAAAGATTCGCAAATATAATCAAAAAAAGTTCACAGGTCAAGTAAAAATGCTTGTAAAGGTCGAAAAATTCCAAATATATTGATCAGTCTGACAAATGAACAAGAATATGTAGTAGTGGTTTATAGTAAACAAAATCACATCACGATCGTAGATGATCTTTTCGAATACAATAATATCGCGCTAACTGTACAATATAAAAATCATAATATCATTGAGCGCTCTGACTCCAGTTTTTCAGCACGAGTCCATAAAACCAAACATCCTGGTGGATAGAATGGTCAAGAACAAACTATACGAGGCCTTAAGCCTTTTCAGGTGATACAATAGCTGAGCTTTATTCAGAATATATTTCCTAAATGCCAAGAGTGGAATTCAATAGAAAGTTCTTGCGAAAACAAACCTTCGAATGGAGACTTTATCTAGATGCTTTAAACAAGTGACTATAAAATCAAAATGTGCAGACAGCGGAACGTATTTGAAAATTATCAGAATTTTGCTTCAATTGGAGTAAAGTGGCTAAAATAAATTATCCATAATAGATTTATTATTTTATCGCCAAAGATATAAATTTATTTAATAGTATAAACTCACCAACTGCTTGAAGTAAAGCTATAGTAGCTGTGTAATCAACCAGACTCTCTGGTAAATGTTGAAAGAACTGTTTTAGTAAGCTAGTAATTACCGGTAATTCAACAAGCGGTAATCTTTGAATTGCTAAAGTACAGCCTGAAATGTAAATAAAATACAATTGACAACTAAAACATATTGGTCATATACCTTTCACATAATCGATATTATTGCAAGTGTCTGATTTTCGAAGAAATATTGAAATCAAACTTCATTGTAATTTCTACTACATCTAATCACAGGAAATTCATATAGTACTTATTGATCATTGCTTTGTGAAATACAACAAAAAAATTATGAACCTAACCATTATCTTAAGTATTTAAGTAGCCAGAAAGTTTCCATTTCTACATTCAATAGAAGCTAACTATATTACCTAGAACAATAATGAAAACTTTTTAATAAAACTATCTTGCTCGAAAAATACACATTGTTAGAAGTAAACACTTTAACTGTAAATCTTTCTATTAATTCCTTTTTTTATTTGTATTTTCTTTCTGAAATTTTATTAAAATAGATTTGAATTATATGGAGAATATTTTTGTGCAGTACCATTTCGTGTATACTTCGTTGATTAAACAGAATTCTAAACTATATTGACTTATATACATTAATTATCTATAAATATGAGACAAGATTGATGATAATCATTTGTAAACAAAAAGTTTCAAATAAGTTTCAACAGTGTAATAAGAAGACGAAGATTAACAGAACTATGTGATGTATTACCGCAATACATTTCAAACAATCTGATCACACATAATGTACTTGTTAAGAACATTTATACATAAAAATAAAGCTCAACTAGACTGGAAATGGAGGGTAAGAGGTTTATTTATTTATTTATTTATTTGAAGACATAAATATTGGTACAAAGAGGCACTGAATACATATGCGCCACACAAGTCGCTTGATTTGTGTGAGAGCTGTGATACTGCCCGGGTGTTCAGATCGAAGCAGGTGGTTTTCTTAGGGGGCCACACCCGGAGCCTTCAGCTCAAAGGTCTGATCCACAAGGCAGTGGAGCAACGTCAGGCGATGCAGTCACATGGTAGCCAGTGGTTCATACTCCATTTGCTCCCTCAGGATCCTGAAGCCAATGTGCACCATTGGTTTGTAATCAGAATTTTCCAACTCCCCTAGATGGACCCCTCGTTTCCACCAATCCGGTTAGAGCGCCGGATATTCGCTTTTCGTCCTCTCAATTTCCCAAACAACACTGTCGTCACGGGAAGGAAATGAGTGGGACTCCCCTGGCAGTGATTGTATACGCGTGGCCATGTGAGAGCATTTCGAGAGGGAGAGCTGACTCCCTGCACCCTCGGCTGTATCAGGGAATTTGGGGGGTAAGAGGAAAAAAGGATAATAATGTAAGTTGAAAACAATTTGGAACCTCATCACTCTGGATAATAAGCTAATATTATCAGGGTAAGTTTAAGGTGAGAACAAACTGTTTTTGAATACATAAAGGGGGTTTAAATATTTGTATGGCCAAGGCTTCATTAAACCTTAGTATACACCCTTTTGCACTTTAATGTTGCCATGCTTAATGAAAATTGTTCTAAATAGAAATATCTAGGATATTTTCTTTATTTCTTTGATATAACATTTATTTTATCCAGAAACATCATACTAGTCATCTTTATCATTATATGATATTGATAAGTTTTTATTCTTATATTAACAGTTATTCATTTTCGGTAGATTTTTGTAATACTGATTAACTATTTCTTTTTTAAGGAGTAAAGAAGTACGAGTTTGACAAGATTTACGTAATACATTGTAACAGTAATCTCTTTAATGAATAATTCACTTGATATTGTTTTTACTTGAATCTTCCGACTGATGTTTAGGACTGCAATTGATCAGTATCTTATTTGCATATGTACATACTGTGCGAATTGAGTGACATCTTTTGTAGAGTCAAAATGTAATATCGACAAAAAAGCATATCGAATTGGATATCACTGCCTTCCTTTAAACAGATGGTTTAATAACCAGTTTAAGGACTTTAAAATGAACACATAACACAAACTTTTATGTCAACAAATTAGGATTGATAAATGTCCTTTCGAATCATTATCATTTCGTTTTATTTAGGTTTGATTTCCAGTTATTAAGTGGAAAACAATCGCTTTAATTATCACTTAATAGTACTCTTATGAAATGATTCATGAAAAAGAAACTAAATAAAAAATATGAATATAAATGCTAGACAATCTATGGAACTGTCATTAAGATTGCATATTCATTATTAAACAGTGATTTTAACAAATAAAAATATAAAAAATATTTCTTACTTTCATCAAATTCACTTTTTAAAGCCTTGATATTATCATTGGAACCACATAATCTATAGACTCCAACCACTAATAATCCTCGCCTTTCAATCTCTTCGACACATGCGATTACAAAACGGGGTATAAAAGCTTCAGATTTATGCTTTTTTGTACACTCATTCTTATCGATGTCATTTGGAACCCTAAAGAAATAAGATGAAATAGTATTGAAAATAAATCAGATCTTCGTGACTTGAAAATTTGTGACAGTATAGTCTTTGTGTATTGCTTTTATAATACCTACAAAATTAATCTACTAACTGACTTCTTGGTAGAACTTAATGTTATATTTGTCTAGGCCAAAGTGCTGATCGAGTTCCGTGGATCAGGTTGTATTGTGGCTTATAATGTAAGTGATTCGATATGATGTCCAGGATTTTTTGACTATAGAGAGTTGGTAGCAGTAACTCCACCTGTCGCTCATCTAGGATTGCCGACGGTCCAAGAACGAGTAAAGGAGGAGGGTTGGGCATTGAGTCAGCAACCCCATCCCGTAGAAGACAACCATATCACAAAATAAACAGATTAAACTATTTAAACTCTACTCTCCGAGTTAAAGGAAGAATTATGACACCTCATGATGAAAATCAAAATTTTTCGGAAATCATGACGCCGATAACCCTTCTAACAACTAGAACAACAACATATATAGGTACATAAAATGTTCGGACAGTGTGAGAGAGCGGAAGGACCAACCAAATAGCTATGAAAATTAGAAGATACAACTTGGCTGTTCTCGGAATCAGTCAAGCTCATTAGAAAAAATCTGGACAGAAAAGAATGGATTATAGAGAGATGCTGCCAAGATGTAGTCACGAAGACGAAAATGTTCCACACACTCAGGGAGTTGATTTGATGCTGTACTAAGAAGCACATAGAGCACTTACAGAATGGGAATCTCATGGATCGAGGATCATCCAAGCATCCTTTGAAACGAAGAAGAAAGGAATCACAATGAATGTTATCGAATTTTATGCACCGACCGATGATATCAAGGACGACAATAAAGACCAGTTTTACTGGAGACTGCAATTGATTATAGCGAAGTGCCCATGAAGTACTTGGCCATCCTAATGGGAGACCTAAACATCAAAGTTTGAATGGACAACGGTGGGTCTGAAAATATCATGGGACGACATGGACTGGGGAGTGGGAGGAAGTGACAATAATGGTGACAGATTTTGAAATTTATGTGCATGCAACAAAATGGTTGTAGGCGTCACAATATTCCCGCTTACACAAATGCATATGCAAGGGTACATGGGTTGAAACCCTAGAAAAGATTCAAGAAAAAAATATAAAAAGAAAGCAACTAAAAACAGTCGAACAAAGGCAGAGAAAGTCAAGGCACAAACTGAATACACAGAAGCAAACAAGTAAGTGAAGAGAAGTATTGGTGCCGATAGGAAGAAATACGTGGAAGTGCTAGCAACAACAGTGGAAAAGCTGCAACAGAAGGAAATGTGAAACAACTATATGACATGACGAATGAACTGGCAAGATATCATAGTAAACTAAAGAGATCAATGAAGGATAAAGAAGGCAAACCAGTCACTGAGATTGGAGATCAGAGAGACAGATGGGTGGAATACTTTGAGGAACTCTTGAGTAGTTCAGGTCCACCGAACCCACCGGACATCGAAGCAGCACCTAAGGACCTTCCTGTAGATGTCATCGGGACACCGAATAAAATAGATCTGAACAAGTGTGGAAGAGGTGGAAACTTTCACGTACCTAACTGGACAGCATCATAGATGAAGAGGGAGGATGTAAATTGAAGGATTGGCAAAACAAGGGCGGCATCCCTACAGTTGAAGAACATATGGAACTCAAAACAACTCTCTGTCGACTAATATCAAAATCGGAGTCTTCAATACAAACGTCAAGCTACTGCTCCGTACGTTGTTGTAACCTGAGTCATTCAGTGTCACAATTAATCGCATTACTATTGTGGTATTCAAGGGGTAACTGCATATTCTCAAACTCTTTTCAGCAGAAGCACAAATTATACGAAAACTTATTGGAAGTTTAGAAGCCCAATATAACTGTTATTTTCTAGCTAAACATTTCAAAGTTGACCTCATTATTCGAGTATTGCTGGACGATAGTTAATTGTTTTCGGACTAATTATGTTCAAAAGATTTAAATAATAAAGGAATGTTGATGAAGTCAAAACAAGTTTATCAGAATGCTCGAACTAACTCAAAGTGTTTGACAAATAAAAAATTTAAAGGTACATGCTCTTAAGCTGATCGATTTACCTTATAAGCTCTGCTAAATGACGTCCGAATAGATTTCCACGTATTTCAGACCGTCTATTTTTATTAAGATTTACTTGATCAACATATTCCAAAGATACGGAAAAGGTTAGCTGTGATATTTAAAAAAGCATAATACTGTTTGAGAATGTTGTGAAAGATTTTAAAACATTTAATTTGACGGATATAAACTAATTAATTCTCTGAAAGTCAATAGCAAATTAACTATGTTAACAAGGATAAACAGAATCATATCTTTTAACTGTCCAGATATTCATTTGCAGGTGGTCGTTTACAGCCAGATTATTAAATCAGAGACAATCCAATTTCACAAAATGAAATGCATCTAGAGAGTTGATGACTTCAATCAGTGTAAGAGATTTGATGGTTCGTTAGTAGTTAGGTTTGGAAGATCAGCGGACAGAGGAAAGACAGCAAACCTGAATCCTGATGTTATCTATGTATTTCAAATTCAATAGTCATTTTGTTGTACTAAGTTGATATTTATAAATTTTTTATGGAATTAAAAAAAGTTCTGAAGAAATGAAATCTTGTTGTTTACTGATAGGTAACTGATAAATGAAATTTGTATAAATCTTCGCAATCAAAAATGAATAAAGCATCCAACTCCTTAGAAATATGCTAATGTTTTTTTCGGTGGCAGTGACTAGCATATATCGTAAAATTACATTTCCAGACAATCATCCGCTTTAAATTTTAGTTAAATTAATATCATTAATTATGGTTGTAAAATTGCATTACTTTGTAATGAATATGTGAGTGAGAAAGTTCATTTTTAACACATGAATTTGAAAGAATCCCTTTCAAATGTAACGTATCGTTATTGTGGTCTGTGCTACTGATGTCGACAGATAGTATGTATCAGCAATCGAAAGTAAAATGCCTGGCAACAAAAGGTTAAGAAGATCGAAGAAAAGAAAACGGGAACAGAGAATGATTGGTTTACAAACGAAGGAATAATCAAGTCTGAGCCAATCGACTGGCATTTTACAAATGTATTATCTATTGTATGGTTCTCAGATTTTATTAAGAGATTATGTCATTTTATATTTAAATACATTCGATTGTTCCCACTTGTGTGTTCTCGTTCACTACCGTTATAAATCCAACTATTTCTTTTAGATAAAAATAAGTAAATTTGATCATATAAATGTTTAGAATATCAACTTATATTCTTCTTTTCAAAACAGTAAATTATGAACAAAGATGGGTATTGTCTAGCAGGGAAATCTAGAAAACGCGTTTTGTTCTGTATTCCACTACTAGACACCATCCATCTTTGCTTATAATGCTTGTGAATTAAAGCAATATCGAGGCAATATGCACAGTATGCACATATATCAATAAGAGGCTGATCAATTGCAGTCCTAAACATTAATGAGATTTAAGTAAACAATACCAAATGAAGTAAATTATAAACTTATCATAAATGAAATAAACTTACATTACGTGGAGGATTTTCATTTGTTAATATCTTCATATCTATTCGTGAATTAGTTTTAAGTGTTTCTTGATCTAACTAAAATAGTGGAGAGAAATTAATGTAATTGGTTATTTACATTATTTTTGTTATATCAATTCTAATTAGTTGAAAGGGGAAACACAATCAAAAAACCAATTCTACCCCATAACTAATTCCTTCCGTTTATTAACAAACGTATTATTATTGTTTTTATTTAGAATATTATCCGGTTGAAAGAACTAGCTCAGTATATTTCCATTTAAAATAGTTAGAAAATTTTTAAAAACATGAATAATCTGTGGTTTATTTTACATTTGAGTAGTATGAGACCATGAATCATTTCATTATTCATCAAACAGTATACTTGATATTGTAGAGAAGGTTCTATAAGCCACACAAAGTATAGTCATTTTAAATACATTTCTTAGCTTTAAAATTAATGAATAAATTCATTATTGAACATTTGATCAACTCTTCTGAATTACATCGGGAAATGGAAGCAGTTATGAAAAGGATGAATAGCAACTGGAAAGGATTGCCCAGGACAGAAGTGGATGGTGAGTGCTGGTGGTCGGCCTATGCTCCTCCACAATGAGTAACAGTCGTAAATAATAAATTAAAGTAATGAACTGCCTCAAAAGTAGCATGAATCAAAAAGATAAGCACAATATAACTTCTGTTCATACTTCTATTTTAGCTTGTTCTCTAAATTTCAATCAACATTTTCAAAAAATCACAATTTGTTCGTTTGTTTATTATCTTTTTTATATCCATCAGGTGAACAGCTATTAGTCATACCTCTCATCCACTAATTGTTTCTACAATTTTCTGGTACTTGGTAGCACCTTCGATCAATTTGAGAATTGTATGTTATTGTTCATTTTATCAAATACCTGAATGTGGTAATTAACCATAAATGTTCCTTTATAAAATTTTGGTCGATTTCACCGTTGAAAGTCAAAATTCTTTTCATAAAAATGTAGTAATTTCTTTTGCACTGTTCCAATATGTTTGTTTGATTAATTCTATCTTTCACTACCCCTATCTAACACTTATTCGATGCTTTAGATTGATGGAACAGAACCCTTCCATTTCATTACGGACGATTATCTAGTAAGTAATTATAAATCCAACCAAATACCTTTAGTAAAGGAGATAGTTGAGAAGTAAATTATGTTCAGTGTTCTTTTAGGAATTCAATAGGTTTCATTCATTTTTAAATAAATTTATAAATTATTAAAGAAAATTAGCCATTTCTCTTTAATCTAATTGAGTAATATAAGTCTTTATTTCAATAGTTGTGATCATGAGTCACTTGAAGCTAGACCACCATGAAAAACCTGGTAGCATTGAATGGCCATTTTGTCCTACTATGGGACTCCTCAGCAGTGCGCATGCACAACCCCGCCTTGCAGGATCCGAACCCAGGACCTGTCAGTCCCGTGCGCGAGCACTTAACCACTAGAGCACTGAACCGGCATCCAGTGGTGTTAATGTCCAACTTCAACTGATAGATTCTGGGTTCAAATCCTGCGAAGAGTGGTCATGGAAGCTCACTGCTAAGTAGTCCCACAATAGGATGAAACGGCCGTTCAGTGCTTCAAAGTTTTCGATGGTGGTCTAACTTTAGTTCATTCATGATCTCAAATATTGAAATTACTACAATCTCCACAAAACCCCTTCTGATATTAAGTCTTTATGTAGACATTTTTTAACAGTTAAAGGAAAAATATTTCATTAATTAGGAAATACTTACAGGGACTTCTAATTCTGCAAACATTTCTTGATGAATATATAATGTAAAACATATCGTCCATGCACCATCCACTTCTAAATCAAATGACTATAAATGAGTAGAATATTTTTTTAGGAAAAATTTATGAATACTCTTTTAATCTCCAGTATCTTAATGAAATCTGTAAAATAAAACTGATCAGTCAAAAGTTCTACTAACAATTACTTCAAACAATAAACGTAATAGGATTACTTTTGTATGAGATATAAATGGATGAATAGTGAAGTTAATAAAACGTTGTAAAATTTCAGATTAGTAAGTAAGCATGTTTGAGAGTAAAACAAGATGAATCTGAGTTATATTACTAACTTAAATAGTTTTCTTTACTCATTCTAAGTTAAAATATCATATAGGTTGAGATAAGTTTATCATTTTAGGGATTTTAATAGTTTAAGGATAGTTTTAATGAAAGCCTTGATATTATGTTGAGTATTAGTGAAATTTTGAATACTTCAAAAACAACTGTTTTATCTTGTATGGGGACAGTTTAAGTACAAAATAGTTAATATGGTCATTGCTTCATATAGTCTAAGCTCCTATACTTGGAATTTTGATAGCTGAAGTTAGTAATTATTTATGTGATTTGGTTTTATTCTTCTTGTATATTAATCAACAAGATAAGTATGAAAGATGCCGTAATATTGTTTTAAAACTTACCAATCATTTTATGAATTTTAACTGAATAAACTCACTTAGTAGTGTAAACTAAAAGGGTGTTCTAGTCACTATTCAATGATCTTATATACACAAATTAGTTATATTGAAGTTGAGTCACAACTTAAACATCTTACTAGCTACACTACTAATTCATGAATGGAACTTGAAGGCTTTAAAAATGTCAGGGCATGATATCCTTTTTCTAGTAATATGGATAAGATTAATCGATAAACAAGACTAAAATATCGATCTTCCGTTTCTGACATCAAATAGTCTTAAGTGAATAATGGTAACAATTCAATTAATTTTCAATGTCATCCTTTTGTAAGTTGTCACCTTTACAAATGTTTCAAATATATTATTGATTCCATAATACAAATAGTTATTTCTATCTAAAATCATTAGTAAACTTGTTCATTATTTTCCATTTTTATTTTTAGTTATCTTTCTATGCTTAACAATAGATAAATAATATAAAGATAAAAATTGTTGTTACCTGTTCCCATTGTGGATTACTTTGTTGTAAAACACGAGTACAAGCTACTTCTTCATATTGACCATATGAATCAACTTCAATACGAACATGATAACCTGAAGTTTAAAACAAAATAAATCTTATGTTAATATCAACTGAATTAATTATATTACTTTTGAAGAAAATAAAATAAAACTTAATATTAGAAAATCTTTCTTTTACGAAACAGTCAGGTTTCGTATCATAAAAAGGGAAAATAAGGGATAGAGTACTAGAATAAATGGCATCACAAGAGTATTTATGAAAATAAATGAATAAGTGCTTTAGGCAATATCTCTAATTTAATTTAGAATAAAACGTAAATGCTATAAAGCACTACTCGGATGGTCTGCTTGAATATCTGGGCTACTTGTTCCTGCCAATTCGATATTTCAACAAGTTATTTGTTTCCTTGTTTGTTTTAATACATTATTGTGTCAATTAATTGCATAACCTATTCAGTTCCAAAAATTTGAGATTGGAAACATCGTGATGGCTGGCAATGTGCATTGAAAAGAATGAATATTATTTAAATGTGGACTTCTGAAATGTTAATGTCTAACTGGCAATCGCTCAATATTTATGATCAATATCGATCACGAAATAACAAAAAGGAAACTTGCTGAAATACTATGTGCTGAAAATTCTATATTGTACCAAAAATATAATATTGAATAAAGCTAATAATGATAATATTTCTGGAATAAACGTTTAGACCTCAACGTGATTGATTTTCCTCTGTTTGATGCCTCCCTTATTTAAGACTGAATTATTTTATTCTATAAAACACTACATACTGTATATATTGTATGACAGAAACTTACCTTTTGTATTTTTATTAAATGAATGTTGCTAACTTTGCAATTTCATTTCTTGTATACAACCTTCACCTTAAATATTTTTAAAGTTTAAATATCGATTCCGTCCTTAGATTTGTTTGTAGTAGTAAAGTTTCATACATTTTATCAGTTTAATTTAATCAGAAAATGTACAAAAACTACATCTAAGCTTATATAAGTTATTTACCTACTTTAATTGAACTTTCGTAATTTGAATATGGAGGAAACGTCAGCCCAACTTATATGAAAATTTTACATTTCATAATATTAACCAACTAAGGTTTTGAAATTCTTTAGTTCATTGCCTTGAATAATACTCAATGTGGCTAATTAGCTAGCTCACAGTTTCTGATGGAAAGGTAATCGTATAGTGTTTGTGATCTTAAAAGTTAACTATCTCGTAACTAGTGTAAACTATTACACTATACTATTATGGATACACATCTGAATATTTTTGCTCAGTTTGGTGAGGTCATTGTTATTAAACATTATGTACGGTATTTTAACACAGTTCTTTTGTTGCATGTAGTTGAATAAAAACGGACGAATATTTCTGAAATTATTTTCTAGCTAATGTAAGCATTAAATTGATATGTACTGCTTATTTTTTGTAAAGTATATGTACAATCAAATAATTAAATTATATAATATAGTGATTAACTAAATAGGATCATTAAAAAGCGGTTTTTACCACACCATTTTGTGAAACGTGTTGAATTTCATAGTTAGCACTATATACTGAGTTAAACAAATATTTGAACCTAAAGAGCACTGGATAGTTAACTATAAAATGATTCGGTAATATAAACATGTCTATTATTGAATTTGAACCTAAACATCATTATGAACATTATTTACTTATAAACCATTCATTAGAGTATTGGAAAATTTGATGTGTTCAATTAAGTTCTAACAAATGTCTGAAATTTTCCTACACAAAATCACTATGATGATTAATTTGTTAGTTATAGTTAGAATTAAATTTGATGTTACTGACAACGGAAATTTGTATTCTTAATAACAAATAAAGGATTTTTATTTCTAATGATGTAATTCACTAAAACTGTGCAGTGTTATTTATAGTTAATTAGCATACATAAGTATAGAATGAAACAGCTAGATGTTTAGCCCTCTGAAAAGTAATCAAATTTGATTTTATTTGTGTTGATTAACTTTAAATACCAGCCGAAGAAGAAATTAAGAAAAAAACGATAGAGATGGAAAGAGAATACATTGTGAAAATCATCAAATTGCATCATGAGACAAGTGATAACTTGGGATCCTGAAGGGAAACGGTATAGAAGAAGACCAAAAATACACTAGAACGAGAATTGAAAGCAGACATCAAAAAAAAAATAAATCCCAATTGAAAACAACTGGAAAAGATTGTGCAGGAAAGAAGTGGTTAGAGAATGGTGGTGGGCGGCCTATGCTCCTCGACGAGGAGTAACACGCATAAGTAAATGAGTAAGTAGCTTGAAATAAAACTGTATAGCTTTAGTAAGTGATATTGTCTAAAAGAAAGGTTTATTCGTTGAATAATTTTAAGGATTTTTATTAATACTTAAGTAGATCATTTCTGTTATTTGTAACTAAAAGATAAACCGAAATTTGAATAGTTTCGTTATGAATAATGGTTCTTGAACAACAGTAAATACACTAATCCCTACAAAAGTTAATCAATAGAAAGCTTATAAAGTATTAAAATGAATTAGTGCTATAGATATTTTGTGGAGCTCTTTATTTTGTCGTCATTTAGATCGGACCGATGTTCGTCGAAGGGCTCTCCACCTTAGTGGTTCGAGATCTGACTCCAAGTAGATCGTATGAATGTTTGTTATCGCCTATCCTCCTATATAATCATTGACTTAAATCACATTAGTCAATAACAGAATTACATAAGTCAAATAACGAGAATAGACTTTTGAATACATATATTTTGTATATGAAGCGGATAGAATAGAAAGAAGAGAAACGACGCGTAGTGGAGATGGCGGGCAAGCCAACTCCCCATTTAACCAAACGTTAATCAATATTTATAGTTACACAAAAATAAAATACAGACGTGTTATGAGTAATGTGATAAGAAGTGTACACACACATATGCGCTCATATAAAAACAGTCACGATTGATAAGAGAATAATTAACAAGGTCAGAATGTGACTCAAGTAGAATGAAGAGGTTGAGCTGTCCGAAAGCTAGAATAAGGTAGGTGTATATGGGTTTAACATAATAACAGACACTACAGATATTATTACCAAGAAATTAACATTAAATCTTACTGTTTTTCTCATTCAATCCATCAATCCCATGTACTGTAGCTTTGATATAACCAGTTATCGGTTCATTTTCTATTGAATAAATTTTTAAAAAAGTTTTATCTTGGTAATCTGTTATACTTTAAAGTCTTTTTTGTTGTTGAAAAAATTCTACTGTATTTTGAATGATCTTACTTTCATAACAGCTGGTTAACGATAATGATTGTTATATTTACCAATTACTTTTCTCTTCTTATAAGTTTAATTATGAATAGCTGATAGCAAGGAATAACTAATTTGATTTATAACAATACTGTACATGATACATTTGATCTTGAATGTATTAAATGTATTGAAATACAATGGAATTATACTTTTATCACCTAAATATGTTCATCTAGCAGAATATAATTTATATTTCAAAGAAAGTTCATCCAAGGAATTATTGGGATTCAAGAAGTACAGCTAAACAGTTTAATGCTGATTTTGACTTTCCTAGCTTATTATGTGTAATTGATTTCGAGATATTTTACTTTTGTGGTAACAACCATAATAATCTAATGGTTCAGTTTAGTCCCAGATAGGATGGAAGGTACCTTTTTGGATTCCATTACTCTAATAATCTATCCATCTTATTTAATTTAGATGTTTTGTCAAACAAAATAACTTTAAGGTGAATGAAGAGTTTGTGTTTAACTTACTGTCAATTATTGAGAGACCGACTCCGTTTAATTTAACCATCTGACAAAGAAAAGAGAAAAAGCAAATTGAAAACAATTGACTGATACATCCCTTAATAATCACAAAAACAATACTTTATTGATAGGAAAGGAGGGAATTCAATTACGGTAAGTTGGTAAATTCTCATATTAATTATTCGAACGTTTTCTGCTTTTCTGATGTATTCTTACAGCTGAAAGTGAAATTAATAACAACTGGAGAAATGTGAGGATAATGTGAATTCAAACTTAGAAGAAAGGAATAAAATTGATAATTTTATTTGGTTGACTTTATAGTGAGTTAAATTTTGATTTCATAATGAAGCAGCTGACGATCAATTTAGCTTGATTCATATTATGAGGGCAGTTTTTATCGTTGCTCAATATAATTTGAAATACAGTTGAAAATCAAGAGGTGATGCATATTTATTTAGCCTTGAGTTCTGAGTTCCGCCTCAAGTTGATTAGAGGGTACATGGTGACAAGAAGTCATAAACTAGTATTATTTGATTTTCGTTGAGATATTAACAGATATCTGTCAGTAACAAATATTATTCCCATGTTAAGCAACGCCCCACATTCCAGTTAGTTTAATACGTGTAAATTAGTTAATTTACCGGGTATCATCAGATTTTCGGTTTGAAAACATGTCCGTGTTATGTGGCCAGGTTTCGTTTTCCCTGTATTGATTACTGGTCATGTTAGATGGTTTTTCAAAATTTACTTTACTAGTCCTTATATTAAAAGATGACAATGTACGGTTTGTATTGTTACAAAGATTTAAAATGTACAATACTGAGCACTTCTTATTACCTCATCTTCTAATTTTTATAAATGTTATCTCACTGTCTATATTTTTCTAATCATTGACTTATTTCCGATTATGTAACATTGATTTGAGCCTTTATTATTCTTATCAAAACTAGTACACCTGTCATCACACTATCACTGTACTTTTCACTTATGTGTAATCGTTTTCATTGTTAATGTTGACTCATAAACTACCTTGATTGGTTTAATAATTTCGTATATGCGTATAAATATTGCTGTATATTAAAGCCTGATGAGGATCTAATCGAAAACAATATTGTTCGCTTATATATGTTGTTCTAAAATACTGGGATAATAAGTTTTATGAAATTGTGTTTGTATTGATGTTGGGTAAGTGAATTTTACAGTTTAGACCAGTTAAAATCTAATTATTTTACGAACTACGTACAAACAATTAGTTTCCAAATGTGATGACTGAGTCCCAACTAGATCAGTTTAAATGCATTGAACGTACTAAGTAGTAGGTTTGACTATAAAAGAAGAGAAAATTCTAGCTAGTCTCAAATGTACATCATATTTACAAAATGTGCGACAACGTAGGTTAAACGAAAATGGCTTGTTATCTTTCAAATACCTCTTTACCCTGACTTGACCTTGATTTTTGTGTCTGAAGTAATTAACTATCATTATGTTTTAATTATTAGGTGGTCTGCTGGAATATCTGAGCTACCCGTTTCTTACATACTTACTCCTGTTACTCCTCATTACATCTCAGTATAGTGTACGCTATGTTGAACCCTTTAAATTAGTAACGGCCTTGCAACTGGATTAATGGAATTCAATCAACACTAAAAGACTAGACAAACATAAAGTTGATCACTACTCAGTGGTAAATCAGTTGAATTATCTTTAGTGTTCATAATCTAAATCTGGAGATAAGACTAACATGAACAATTATCGGCCAATAAATATTACTCCAGTAATATCTAGGATTATGGAGAAAATTGTAAGTGATGAACTTTCCAACTATTTACTGGCTGGAAAATTTATCAGTGATACTCAACATGGATTTCTCAAAAATTGATCTTGCATGACATGTCATTTTGACTTCTTTAATTTAGTCTATTCTCTACGTAGCCAAGGATATCTAGTCTTAGTGCTATATCTGGACATTTCTAAGGCCTTTGACATGGTTAGCCACCAACTTCTTATAGGCGAACTTGCATCTAATGGGGTTCAAAATCCTTTGCTAGATTGGATTGATTCATTTCTCAGCAATCAACATCAAATAGTTAAAATTAACTCCTCATTGTCTAACGCTATCCCTGTTAGAAGTGGTGTAATACAAGGTAGTGTCTTAGGCCCTTTGCTCTTTTTAGTGTTTATCAATGACATTTGTGAAAATTTTTGTGTAGGTAAGTCCCTTCTATATGCAGATGATCTTAAACTAGTATATTCATTTTCTCCACATGAGCTGGAAAATATGCAAACTTGCATTAACTTGAAGCTTAACAAGGTAACACATTGGTGCTTAAAATGGCAACTGGAACTTAATACGGCTAAATGCGGATGGATATGCTTCGGCGATACATCACTTAACCTAGACCTTACCATAAATGGAGAAATGTTATCTAGGTTACATACAGTAGTAGACTTAGGACTTAGATACTTCCAAGACTTATTGCTTACAGAACAGATATCGAAACAGACCTTCAAGTCACAACGACTAGTAGGTTACATAATTCGAAACCTTCATAACAACGAATCACGAATTTTAATGTACAAAGTTTGTGTTCGACCTCTTCTAGAATATTGAACGTTTATTCTTAGCAGTGCGCTCATAAAGGATAAATTAAGGCTGGAATCAGTACAGAGACGATTTACACTTCGTATTCTCGGAGCTGATTGTACCTTAACTTATAATTCTAGATGTAAAAAACTAGAGCTAGACCCTTTATGGAAGAGGAGACTCAAACTAAATCTTATTTTTTTCTTCATACTACTTAATAAACTATCCTTTACATCCAATCACGTAATTCAATACGCAGAAACTCCTCATTATGAAACCCGTAGTTCCTTGGCACTTGTGAAACAAACTTATTCTAAATCATCTCTTTATATGAATTACTTTGCCTATAAATTTTCTAGACTCTGGAATAACCTACCACAACATATCCGTACGATAAAATCACTCCCATTATTTGTACGTTGCATCGATGCATGCTGCTTCTCCGAAAATGCATTGAATGCTCTAGCACCTGCAAGTGTATCTCACTCCACAAGTGTTATTATAGGAACTTTAAATGTTTAGGCATTTTTATTAGTGCATTCTCTGGATAAAACCACCAACTTGCTGTCACTTTATGTTAATACCGTCCCCAGCTAGTTTAACTAATTTGAATATCATCAACAGTATATCACTGTGTCACATAACATACGCATTTTGATAGATCTGATTGACATATTTCGGTAATTACTGCTTTTTTGTTCCGTGCTCTCTGTTTTCGTTTTAATTTCTCTAGTTGTAGATATTTATCATTAAATCGATCTGGCACACGAAATGATCTTAATTACACCGTTCATAAATCAACAGGCTGTCCAGTTAAGAAATATTACATGTTCCCGGCTGATGCATTGGATCGCTGTAATACCTAAACAATTACTCAACTAGTAAACTTAAAACTCATATCACATGTTTGTTCTGTACATATAATGATATTATTTATACCAAATTGGTCATGCCTGTAAACTGGCGTGAAATCTGTAATTATTATTTTTTCAGAATATAAATTATTATTATTATTATTATTAAATTTATATCTAACGTCTAATAACCCCACAAATATTAGTCCTAATCAAATTAAGCGCTTAGGTGTACCGGTGGATAATTTGCAAATGTTCAGCTTCCTTTATATTACTTCACCCATAAAACCAGATGTCAATGCTTTGTATTTAAATTTATACCAAGCAAGTAAAGCAATAGAGTATCTTCATAAAATATAAGAACTATAGATTGAATAGTGCATTTACTAATTTCCGTCATTTGTCCTCCTTATTCTATATGATTCTTAAAATTCAGAATTCCTTTCTAATTTTCCTTCTATCCTCTTCAACTCAATTCTTCTTAGCCTTTTGCTGCCAGGTTTTGCACCTCCGATTAGTTTTACATACTACTTATGTTGACAGACATGAGTAGCATACACCACAGCTAGACGAAATGTTGAAATTCTTTAAATTTCAATCACCAAGATTATTTGAAATATAATTTTTACATATAATGTCTTTTGCATACTCAGTGCCCAATTACTATCAAACTATTTACTCTAACCAATAATCATATAAATTTATACAGAGATGATAAACGAAATTAGAATGTGACGAAGAGCAAGAGTACAGTAATCAAATTTAAAAACTTCTGTATATGGTGTTCAGTATGAAATTGGCAGTTGGAACTGATTCGGTAGTCATATTTTGTGGATTAGTAAACAGTAATAACTTCTATTTAACCACAAAATGACGTTAGGTATGGTACTTACTTACTTACGCCTGTTACTCCCAATGGAGCATAGGCCGCCGACCAGCATTCTCCAACCCACTCTGTCCTGAGCCTTCTTTTCTAGTTCCATCCAATTCTTGTTCATTTTTCTCACATCTATCTCCATTTCTCGGCGTAATGTATTCTTTGGTCTTCCTCTCCTCCTTCGACCTTGAGGATTCCATGTGAGGGCTTGTCTTATGACGCAGTTCGGTGCTTTCCTCAATGTGTGTCCTATCCACTTCCAGTGCTTCTTCCTGATTTCTTCCTCCACTGGGATTTGATTTGTTCTCTCCCACAGTAGGTTGTTGCTAATAGTGTTCGGCTAGCGGATCTGAAGTATTTTGCGTAGACAACTGTTAATAAACACCTGTATCTTTTGGATGATGGCTTTCGTAGTTCTCCAGGTTTCCGCGCCATACAGTAGAACTGTCTCAACATTTGTATTGAAAATTCTGACTTTGGTGTTGGTTACCAATTGTTTTGAATTCCAGATATTCTTCAGTTGTAAATATGCTGCTCTTACTTTGTCAATCCATGCCTTCACATCTGCATCGGATCCACCGTGTTCATCGATGATATTGCCTAAATATGTAAAGGTTTTTACATCTTCCAAATCTTCTCTGTCAATTGTGATTGGATTGGTACATGCTGTGTTGTATCGAAGAATCTTGCTTTTCCCTTTGTGTATATTGAGACCTATTGCTTCTGTGGCTGCAGCTACACTGGTTGTCTTCTCCTGCATTTGTTGTTGCGTATGCGATAGAAGAGCCAGATCATCTGCGAAGTTTAGATCATCCAATTGCATCCTAGCTGTCCACTGTATCCCGTGCTTCCCTTCAGATGTTGACGTCGTCATGATCCAGTCGATCACCAGGAGAAAGAGAAAGGGTGAGAGTAAGGAACCTTGCCTGACACCGGTCTTTACTTCGAACGACTTTGTCAACTGTCCTCCATGCACGATTTTACAGTTTAATCCATCATAGGAATTCTGTATGATATTGACTATCTTCTGAGGCACGCCGTAGTGTCGAAGAAGCTTCCAGTGGGTTGTTCTGTCCACACTATCAAATGCTTTTTCGTAGTCGATGAAGTTGATATAGAGTGATGAACTCCATCCAATTGATTGTTCCACAATGGTTCGTAGTGGTCCGTACACGATCGATCCTTTCGGAATCTAGCCTGTCGGCCTCAAAGTTGGGAGTCTACCAGGTCCTTCATTCTGTTTAGCAATACCCTATTGGAGACTTCCTGGTATTGAGAGATGTGTGATGCCCGTGTGGTTATCACATTTGCTGAGATCGCCTTTCTTTGGTATTTTGATCAGAAGTCCTTCTTTTCAGTTTTTTGGTACATGTTCCTCATCCCAGATCTTTCTGAAGAGAGTTTGGAGTATCCTTGCAGTTACCGCTACGTCTGATTTCAGTGCCTCTGCTGGAATGCTGTCTAGTCCTACTGCTTTGCCACTCTTGATTTGTCTGATAGTCATGCTGATTTCTTCAATTGTCGGTGCGCCAACATCAATTGGGAGGTCCGTGAGTGCTGCTTCGATGTTGGGTGGGTTCAGTGGGGCTGGTCGATTCAAGAGTTCTTTGAAGTGTTCTACCCACCTGTTTCGTTGTTCTTCAATGTTGGTGATTATCTTGCCTTCCTTGCTTTTCACTGGTCGTTCTGGTTTACGGTGATTTCCAGAGAGTTTCTTTGTTGTGTCATACGGTTGTCTCATGTTTCCTTCTCTGGCAGCCTTTTCCGCCGTCATTGCCAAATCTTCCACATATTTACGTTTGTCAGTTCTGATGCTCCTTTTCACTTGCTTGTTTACTTCTGTGTATTCAGCCTATGCCTTGGCTTTTTCTGCTCTTGTTCGACTGGTAATGATTGCTGCCTTCTTGTCCCTCCTTTCTTGAATCTTATCCAGTGTATCGATCGTGATCCAATCCTTGTGATGGTGCTTCTTTTGGCCCAGAACCTCATGACATGTTGAAGTGATTGCCTTTTTTATCCCTTTCCAGTTGCTCTCCATAGTAGTTCCTTCTCCATTGAGTAGATCATGAAAGGCCTGGAACTTATTGCTGAAGGTTGTCTTGAATTTATTGAGTTTGTCATTATCCCGAAGAAGAGCCGTATTAAACATTTGTGATATTGTCCTCCCAGTTGTCCAGTGCCTCTTGAGTTTCAATTTCATCTTGGCGACCAGCAAGTGATGATCTGATCATATATCAGCTCCCCTATTTGTTTTCACGTCCTCCTGAAGTTTTTGTTGATGCAGATATGGTCGATTTGGTTCTGTGTGGTGTGATCCGGTGAAGTCCATGTGGTTTTGTGTATGCGTTTATGTGGGAATATAGTCCCGCCTATGACCAGTTTATTGAAGGAACATAGATTTGCAAATCTCTCACCATTTTCGTTCCTTTCTCCCAGTCCGTGTCGTCCCATGATCTCTTCATATCCGGTGTTGTCAATTCCAACCTTGGCATTTAGGTCTCCCATCAGAATAGTCAGGTCCTTTGTTGGGCACTTCTCGACGATTGACTGCAGCCTATCGTAGAATTGATCCTTAGCATCTTCATTGTATTCGTTGATAGGCGCGTAGCATTGGATGACATTCATTGTGATCCCCGTTTTCTTTGTTTTGAAGGAGGCTTTGATGATCCTTGGTCCATGAGATTCCCATCCTATAAGTGCATTTTGTGCTTGTTTGGACAGCATCAATGTTACTCCTTGTGCATGTGGGGCATTTTGTTCTTCATGTCCGGAGTATAACAGCAGCTCCCCTGAAGCTAGTCATTGTTGTCCAACTTGCGTCCAATGTGTTTCACTGATCCCAAGCACCTCTAAATTGTATCTCCTCATTGCTGCAGCAATTTGGAAAACTCTCCTAGTCTCCCACATTGTGCGAGCACTCCATGTACCTAAATGATTGCTCTGGTTGTCAGAAGGAGCATCGGCCTCGTGACTTCCGAAGAAACTCGGCTTTCATCATGAGGCGTCATAACTCTTCTAAACGAAGACCTTCTGACTCCCAGGGCAGAGTTTATATGGTTTGAATAATTTTTTCTGGTTAGCGTTTTTTTAGCGAGTTAGTTTTCTACGGGATGGGGTCGCTAACCCTATGCCCAACCGTCCTCCTTTACCCGGGCTTGGGACCGGCAGTAGCCCCCCGGAAGGGACCAAATATATATATTTCAACTTACAAACTTATTTAATTCATCATTAATATTTCTTTTTTTTTCCAATCTACTTTTATCATATCTTATAATCTTTATTAATCCCTGACTTAAGCTTCTAGTCTCTTATTACAGCTTTATCTGCTATATGATTGGTTATTTTAGTCTCTTACAAATAGATAAGAAACAAATAAATTTTAATATACATAGGACTAATTTAAAAGACTTCATTTTTTTGTAATTGTATGTTATTTAAGGGTTGGACTGTATGGTGTTTATAAATTCTCCTGAACTATTTTGAGTTCTTGTTATACATTCAAAGTTTCCTTTTAAAAGACATCAAAGATGAGGATTTTTCTATTATTATCTTAACGGCAGTAAAATACATAATTAGTGTATGATTTATCTACAGCTTTAATCTAAGGATTAAAAGTTTGTAGTTTTATGTACTTGATATATTATTTGTAACTTTAGTTTTACTGTCGTATTTACTATCTGGATAAAGTGAATGAATATAATATTAGTCTTACACATACAATGTATTATCCTTATTATTTATTTACATGACCAAAGAACTTACGTGCTTGTATTTTTTTAGGCGTTCGCTAATATCTCCAACCGAAGAACTGCGGCTTCGCAAAGGTGAAGAAAAATAATCCGTACTTATTTTTTCTGGAGTAGTACGTCTTACAGAATAAAATTTATCAGTATTATGAGGCGGTTTATCTAAAAGTTGTTCTAAAGCGGATCGCCAGTGCGTTCGTTCTCTCTCAGTTGAAAGAAGGATATTATGAATACGACCGCTTTTGTCAGAGACTGGTAATATGAGTTGTGGTGTTTCCAAAACAAGTTTACCTTCCTGTAACAAAAGAAAAGTAATGTAGTGAAGTGAATTATTGATTTTTGTATAACTAAATAAATACCAACACCCTGTAAGTTATTTTGTAAATCTAAACTGTCAGTACAGTGTGATAAAATTAAAAAAATAGTTTTATTTCGTATTTTACCATTTTATTCAAGTTCTAATCTCTAATAAATTTCCTTATTGGATGGATAGTTGTAGACATGAAATAGGTCACGAAAGTATAGTATGCACGAGTTTAAATCTAGAAAGAACTTGAGATTAGCTACAGATGGAAACTATAATAATATTTGGGTAAGATCTTGGATAATCGAAGTATTTTCCCAATGATATTTTTAGTCAAGCAAATTATTTTCCAGCTTCCACCAAAATGATACTGTGTTATGTGCTACTTATATCTATATAAGTAGTATATAACGCTAGTCAGGAATAGAACGTTTGGCAGCAGAAGCTAAAGAAGATCGATGAGGAAAGAATAGGAACAGAAAGCGATTGGTATGGAAATGTATGAACACTGAAGTCTGAGACGATTGACTGATATTTGCAAAAGTAACAGTTAAGTTTGAGACAATTGATTAACATTTTTCAAATTAAGTGTTTAATGTATGGTTCTTAGATTTCACTAATTCTAAATAAATTTCCTCTGTCCACGATTTCCACATTTTTCCAATCGAATGTGTGTCCCCAGTTGTCCACGTGTAATGATATAAGTGAGGAGATATCATGCCGTTTGACTGCTAATTGATGTTCATGTAGGCGCAGGTGAAGGGGGCGTCCGCTTTGTCCGATGTAGTGTTTGTCTCAGTTGACACAATTTATTTTGTAGATGATGTTCGACTTATCTTCTTTTGTTATTTCATCCTTTGGTTTGCATAGGATTGACTGCAGTGATTTTGTCGGTTTGTGTGCCACACCTATCCCGAAGGTTTTTAGCAGTCTTGTTGCGGTTTCTGATACGCCATTTATATATGGTAGGGTGATCCGTTTGTTGATTTCTGTGCTTGATTTGTGCTCTGATGCTGCATGTGGTTGGTATTTTTTGATGAAGTTGATTATTAGCCATTCTTTTGGAATACTTCCTTCAGGTATTTCTCTTCCTTTCTTCGTGCTGCCAGTGTGCTGCAGTGTGTCCTCGCCCTCTTGAACAAAGTTTGTACGCAGTTGATTTTATGTGCTCTTGGGTTGTTGCTATTGTAGTTCAGAATTTGATCTGTGTGGGTCGGTTTCCTATATACTTGAGTTTCTAGTTTTCCTGTGTCCGTTCTAGTGATTAATATATCCAAGAATGGTAGTTTGTTGTTTGCCTCCTGTTCCATTGTGAACTTGATGTAATCGAAGACGTTGTTGATCAGTTTGTAAGTGTTTTCTAGCTCATTCTTTTTGACAATAACGAATGTGTCGTCTACATAGCGAATCCAAATTTTTGGCTTGATCATTGGTAATATCGCGGCTTCTAGTCTTTGCATCACTGCTTCTGCGATCAGTCCTGATATTGGTGACCCCATTGGTGTCCCTTTCGTTTGTTCGTAGGTTTTGTTGTTGAATTGAAAATATGTTGTTAGGCAAAAGTCGATGAGTTCTAGTAGACTTTGACTTCGGAGCTTTGTGTACTTTGTTAGATTTGTGTCGTTGGCGAGGAGCAGGGATATAGTTTCTTTTGCTAACCTTGGCTCGATTGAGGTGAATAATGCTGTTACATCGAAGGATATCATTAGTTCGTCGTTGTTGATTTGAATGTCCTTAATTTGGTCCAGGAATTGTGTAGGGGACTTGATAAAGTGGTTGGATGAATCGACTAAATGTTTCAGTATTCGTGAAATTTCTTTTGATAAATTGTATGTTGGCGTTCCGGGTAGTGCTACAATTGGACGTAGTGGAATGTTTGGTTTGTGTTTTTTTGGTTAGCCGTAGAATCGGGGGAGTACTGGTCCATTGGATTTCATTCTCCATTGATCTTGTTTTGTTATTTCTCCTGCTTTGACTAGCTTGTTTAATGTCTTTGAGATTCTGTTGTCCAATTTTTTGACAGGATTTATATCTATCCGTTTGTATGTGTTCTTATCTTCAAGTAGTTGTTCGGCTTTTTTGAGGTATTCCTCCTTGTCCATAACTACTGTTGTGCGTCCTTTGTCCGCTGGAACGATGACAATATCCTTTCTTGTTCTAAGTTCCTTCAAGGCTTTTTGTTCTTGTGGGGTCAGTTGGTTGTTTTCCTTCACCCGTTGCGTTAGCGGTACTATAGTTTGCCTTATTTCTTGTTGTGTTTCCTCACGTGGACAACTGCGGACACACATTCGATTGGAAAAATGTGGAAATCGTGGACAGAGGAAATTCTAAATACACAAGAGAATTTTTAGAAGACTGGCACTCAGGGCAATCAGCAATCAACAAACATTGAAATCGATCCGATTTATCAACCAATCAAGAAACTTATGCACAAATATAGGAACAAGAATCAAACCAATAGGAGACAAAACCAAGACAAAAAAGTAAACAATGACAAATTTAAGGTCAATAAGAACCAATCAACATCGAGGTGCACAGAACAAGCTGTGAAACGCATATGGAGAAATTCGAACACTTCACTTCTATTTGAAGTTTGTGCTGATGATGTCGTTCAGAAGAACGATGAAAGCTCCACGACCAAACCATCCAGCTCAGAGAACAAAACTCCATCAAAATCATCCACCTGAGCTACAAATCTTCTCTACCATCTCAAACGGTTGACAATTTAACTGTTGTTCAACCATCTGAAAGATAACCATTTTATTCTAGAATAAATTCATCTTTTTAATGAGAAAGAAAATGCTAGGGTTATTCAGTTCTTTTTTAACATATCTATGATTCAATTCAAAACCAACTGAGTGAAAATAAGTGATTGTTCTTGACGAACCAACTTGCCTTTAGTAGTGATTTATAAATTACTTAACCAAAATAAACTTAACTAGTTTTTCAGATAGAGAGATCAGCCACATTTGACTTCATTAAGCACAAGACAAACAAGTATTTTCCAAGGATATTATTGTGAGAGCACTATTTGAAATTAATATTTGGAACCCCTGCAATAAAATACAGAGTGATGGCTTATTAGGTGGTAAATTTGTTTGACAAGTAAAAGCAATCTAACATAATGATAAAGATCTTATGATTTCAATTAAATTAACTTTAAAAAACAGCATGACTTTGAGTACGTGTCAGAAATCCATGTTAAACGTTACACATTCACCTATTCCGATAAAAAATATGTAAACAAATTAATGAACGTCTATGAAAGTAATCTTTGCTACTAAATTAATAGAAGTCAATAGTTCTAGTTTATCTAAACTTTTAATAAAGAAAACAGCTATCAATCAACTTTCCAAAAAAAGATTAATTTATTAGACAGTTTGTTCAACAGAAACATTGATTACATAATATATAAGTTATGTTATCATTGTTTGTAGGTTGATCTATATGATGTTAGAGATATTCCCTATTCTATATGATGCTTGCACAAAATACCAATATTATTGATTGGAAATGAAAAAAAACACAGAGAAAATAAACTTGTGATATGACAAACAAAACTTACTAATTTACTTAGACTGGTTAATTTAGATGTGTTCTTGGATGAATGTTTATCCTATTAACAAATAAAGGTAGATATTTATAAAAATATAATGATTAGTTTCATTGAAATAACTTGTGAAATTACTCATGATCTCAACTATTGGAATTACTACAATATCCACAAATTCCTTTCTGATATTAATCGACATATGCTCACTAGTCACTGGCTTCAAGGTGTATATCTTGATGTTCGACTGAGAAGCAGTGACCAGCGGAGCCTAACCGGGTTTGTTGTGAAATAATAAGTCACTGAAGACAGTAGAACTGTCTCAACACTTGCATTGAAGATTCTCACTTTTCTATAGATCGACAGTTGTTTTGAGTTCCATATGCTCATCAACTGTAGGAATGCGGCTATTGCTTTGCCAACCATCGCCTTTAAGTTTGCATCAGATCCCCCATGTTTATCGATGAAGAAGAAAGTTTCCACCACTTCCAGAGCTTTTCTATCGAGTGTGATTAGGTTGGTGTTCTCTGTGTTGTATTTGAGGATTTGGGTTCTTTCTTTTCTGTATGATGAGGCCTACTGATGCAAAGACTGCTGCTACACTGGTTGTCTTCATCTCCATTTGTTGATGTGTATGGAATAGAAGAGTTAGGTGATCTGCAAAGTCCAAATAGTCTCATTGCATGCAAGCTGTCCATTTTATTCCGTGCTTCCCTCCGGATTCGAAGATCGTCATAATCCAGTCGACGATCATAAGAAAGAGAAAGGAGGAGGGTAAGCAGCCTTGTCTGACATCAGTCCTCATGTGAAATACATCCGTCAGCTCTCCTTTTTACACAACTTTGCAGTGTAGTTCATCATATGAACTCCGGATGATGTTGACAACCTTCTCAGATACACCGTAGGTGCTGAAGAAACCGGTACCAGTAATTTCATGTTAAATAACTGAGGACTTTGTGTATAAATGGTGAACCTTGACTTTCAGCAAATTCAAATTGATTTGTTCTAATATGGAGCTTTCACAATGGGTTACAATATGTAACTGTTGGATTCAACAGTACCACAGTAAATTATATTTAGACTTCTACTGACATATTCAATATCTTTTTTACTTAGTTTTCTCATAATCAACTTATATTTCTTAAAAAATAAGTCCACCACCTCACCTCTAGACTACGACTCATTGTTTGCCGTAAATTACGAACCATGCCTTTCAGTTCATCTAGATTTTTTTGGTTTTGTAGTCGACCTCGATCATCTAAGAATGAAGAATACACAAACATAAATTTTGATCGGATTTTATGAATAAACGGATTATTTGTTTTCGGTTAGACTTTGAAGTTATCTACCAACTACACTACAAGCACACAATAATTCTGTAAGTGGTGTCATTAATAGATACATTTATCCTAGACACTATTGAAAACATTGACGAAGAATATTGAGACTTTGCAAGTTATCATTAAAATTATTTTGTATACTGATTTTTCACAACGTTATTTACTATCAGAAACTTATCTCCAGAAAATTATTTTATCAGAAGAATATTTGGGTAAAAATTATCTATGCAAAGTTTTTAATAGAAAAGTAGTGAGCGAAATCAAACGGAGAATTGACCTCTTATAATATCTTGATGAACGATATGATTAAATTAGTATTTTTCTTGAATAGAGGAAATTCGAACATCAGCCAAGATACAACAATAGCTTGGAATGCTATTTTATTGAATTATTATACATGGACGTTTCATCACTAAACTTAGATACTTCGTCACATTTAGGTGAAACATTGGTAAATCATCACAGAATTATGATTGAATCTGGACAGGAAGGAGAGAGATGAAAATGTCATCTATTCAAGTAGTCTTATGTAAATAAATGGGCTACTTGTAGCTGTGATATGTTTAATGATATGAAACATGGTAAACCTTTTCTGTATCGCTGTACAAGTACATTGTAAATTCATGGATTAAAAATCTAGGGAATATTGAAATTTTACTCAAGGATTACTTTGTTAAAATTTTTAATGATACTGTCCTACATATGCGTAAGTCATGTGTGTAGTTGCTTACATCAACACAAATTGCCACTTTTATTAAAAACTCTCATTATTTTGGTCAAGTAATGAATTGTTTATATTTATATATAACTAAAACATTTTGATTTAAATAAATTATGAAAGAAAATACCATGGGAACACAATCAATATTGGTATTAATAGTACGCTTTAAATTAAAATTTCACTCAAAAGTTTTCATTGGATGATATGTGATTCAGCTGAGTAGTAAAAACTGACTATCTTATTTAGTGTCCTATTTTGAAGATCAATCAAATCAATCATTAATGGTAAGTGTCAGCATTGAATGAAGATCGATTTCAATTGAAGGCAAATTGATGAATTTGTTAATGAACATATAAAAGTAAAGAGATGCAAGCTGAAGTAAATACTTTTATTGACGCTAAAAGTGACTGAGGAACAGTTATGAGGACTTTAGTAATAATAAATGTTAATTAAAGGTAATTTCTTTTCGAATAGATCAATGTTGGACCCCCACTGAAAACCTGAAAGCACTTCACTGCCGTCCAGTGATTACAGGTTTGCAATAGTGGTCTAACATTAATCCATTCATGAATTCAATCTAAATTCAACAATTTTTATAACCCTATACTGGTAATTTCTTCTATATTATTGAGTTGTTTTCGTTATAATAATGTCTACTACTTAACGATTATTAAGTCAAATTATTTGTTCCAGATCAAAAGTCAACCAACTCTCTGTAATCTAGTTTAGTGAATTCTTGAACTTGTTCTTATACCATATGTGTTGTTCCCAAGAAACACAAGACACACGAAGTATGATTTCATATTTTTTTTTGTAGTGAAGAATTAATAGTCGTATATTAAATGATATGAAAAGATGAGATCAATTAATAATTCATTGTAATGCTATCGGATCTTACCACTCCCAACTCTTGAATTAGATAACAAACTCATTTCTTCCATTGGAATAAACCACTTAATCTCGAGCTCATAGCTAGAAGCAGAAAGTTTTCCAGATCTTTTTCTCCGAAATCGCGACTCACTCAGTGAAGAATTCTCATGTAATATCCTTTGTCTTTTTTAGAGTAAGGAAAGGATAAAAGTAAACTGAAATTAATACTGAATAATAATTGACTATGGTGAATATTTAACAGGAGTTAAGCCATACATACTACCGGATAAATAAAATACATTTTATTATTGAATCACTTGACAGGTCAAAGAGTATGAATATTGATGTCTTTGTGCTGACTCTTTAATATAATAAATGTCATCATTGTGTTAAGAGTTCTGGTAACACACAATTTCTGTGTAATCTGTTCTTTTTGACAAAAATGTGTGAATATGAAGACTGAAACCATTTCGAATGACTCACATTCTAATACAATATAAACTGCCACTAACTGTAATTAACGATGCAGTAGGACGTTCGGGTTTTCAGTTCTGTAGATTGTTAGGTCTATCTATCTTTTTAACCTGATTTGCAGTTGCATTCGTTTGTCAGGGTGTTTCCTACTTCCATTCTGCTCACAAGTACTAGCACTTTTACAATAATATTTAAAGAATAGCTTCGTTGATATAAAAAACTCAATTCCCAGTGTTTCAATGGTTAAATTTTCAAAACCACAGAAGAGTATCTAACACTAAAAGTTTTACATACCACCCCATTTTAACAAAGATTCAACAATGAAATCACCTGAGTGAATCAAATACTTCATATATCAGTTTGAAAAGGAATCACTAAACTTAAGTTAGCCTTTGGCTTTATTCAAAGACAAAGTATGAGCTTTCAGTTCGATTTCAGAAAATGTAGCTAGAATATTTATTTATACTACTAAAATCATCATTCGCTTGTAAAAACCACGAACATCTTGAGTGGCACGAAAAAGAAGGTCAAATATGATACAGGATTGGTCTGAGAATATTTAATGTCATTTAAAAAGAGAATGTCACCGACATTTTTATCGTTGTAAACATCTTAATAGTGTCATTATTATGCATAATTTTCTATTCATTCAACTTCAGATAGCAAATGTATTGTTTTACGAGGCAATAGTCTCTGTTAACTCATACATCATGACCTTGTTTCGTTTTTTAGTAGATCTTCGTGCATGATTTTAAGAGTTGAATGCCGTAGTAGATTGGATCCTGTTGAGGAGGCTTCACGAGATGCTAAGATGGATAAGGCCCAGATTCACGATATAGTGTTGGTTAGTGGTTCCAATCATATCCCTAAGGTGCAGAAGCTGTTTCAGGACATCTTCAACGGGAAAGAGTTGAACAAATCTATTAATCCGTATAAAGCTGTGGCTTATGTTGCAGCTGTACAGGAAGCTATTATAAGTAGTGACAAGTGTGAGGCTGTGCAGGACTTGCTGTTGCTTGACGTGGCTCCACTGTCACTGGGTCTTGAAACTGCTGGAGGTGTGGTGACGGCTCTGATTACGCGTAACGCGGCGATTCCGACGAAGCAGATTCAAACGTTCACGACGTACTTGGACAACCAACCTGGTGTGCTTATCCAGGTGTTCGAGGGTGAGCGTGCGCTAACGACAGACAACAATTTGCTTGGCATGTTCGAACCTTCAGGTATCCCATCTGCTACTCGTGGTACTCCCCAGATTGAGGTACCGTTTGATATAGACACGAACGGTATTTTGAACGTATCTGCTGTTGACAATAGTACAGAGAGACAGAACAAGATGACGATCACAAATGACAAGGGTCGCTTGATGAAGGAGAAGATTGAACGGGTGGTAGCTGATGCGGACAAGTACAAGGCTGAGGATGGGAAGCAGAGAGATCGTATTTCTGCAAAGAACCCGCTTGAGAGTTATGTGTACACAACGAAACAGCAAGTGGAGGGTGAGCTTAAAGACAAGATATCTGAAAGTGATCGTCAAGTGATATGAAGTAAGTGTGAGGATATAATTGATTGGTTGGACCTCCATCAGTTGAAGGAGAAGCATGAGTATAATAATAAGCGGGAGGAGTTGGAGAAGGTCTGTGCCCCGATAATTACGAAGGTGTACCAGGCTGGTGGTATGCCAGGAGGCATGCATGAAGCAGGTGGTGCTGGTGGTAGAAGTGGCAAAGGTCAAGCAAATGAGGAAGTCGACCAACTTGTAATTGTTGTGACTAATTATTTGGCACTTGAAAGAATCTAGATTTTATCTGTAATGACTTCTGACTTCTGATTTTTAGTAGTTGTCAGTTGTTTGGTACAGAGTCAGGGTTTCATTGTTTGCGGGTAGTGTATATTGTTGTCTAGTGTTTGGTCACTCAGTGTAGGATAGTGAGCGCTCTCTGTCTCGTCCCGCCCTCTATTTCACGAAAGGCTTATTAAGTTGTGTGTTGGGAATCTGGAAGTGCGCGAAGTAACATTTGCGTTGAGTTTTCTGTCGCGTTTGTCCCTCGTTGACCACTCGAACGTGGTCGTCTGTGGGCTGGGATACGGTGCAGACCTTTCAATCTGAGGTGCGATGATGCAAACCGTGTACAGCAAAACAATTGTCTAACACTCTGACAGTTAGTTGTATGACAAAGTGGTTATCTTTTGAGCGATCATCTGTGAAAATTGAAATTAGAACAATGTTGATCAGTTTTTGTTTATTCTCTTGCAACTCAGTCAGTCAATCACAACGTAGGACCTATACGCATGTACATCGGTTCAAGTTGCCATACCACAATAACACAGAGAGATGAAGTTGTCAGGCCAAATCCTAGAATAGTAGAGCTAGTAACAGCATCAGTGGTAATAGCCAAGATTAGGCACCGAAGATATGACTTGGAAAAAAATATAGATTAGCAGAATAAAGACAAAGAATAGATGCACCTGAGCCGTTCCAAACGATTTAGAGCCATGTCATTCAAAGTCTCCAACCATTGATCACAATAATCACGCAACACCCAACCAGGTAGTACTTATTAACATTAGTTAAATCCAAATGTCATTGACTTCATAAACTGATGTCATGTTTTGTTTTGGCAGCCCCTGGCTTCCTTCCATACTACTCGTACACCAAAATACATCGCCCCGTCGAGGTTAGCGGTGGTTAGGCATACGTAATATATATCTCAATCACCTCAGTTGAAGATTTACTACCTCATCAATCGATTTCTCATCTTCATCAGAAGGGAAATAGATGTTACCTAACATTTATAAATCAAATATTTAATGTAAATGTTGTATCCAGTAATCTAGAAAACATTTATATTTAAATTTAGATGAAATAGACAGAATATTTAAACTATTAATGAACCAGAGTTTGACTGAAGAGATTAAATAGTTATGTGTAAACTAAATTAAAGTTTTAAGGAATAAAGAAATATCTACGAAATGTTAAATAAAAGAATTCAACAGACAAATAACTGAGGAGAAATTTTTTAATTCTGTTTATCTAACTCTCTCAAGAATCATTTATTTTAAATCAAACAATTTAATTGAATTTTTTCATTATCTTTGTTTTTGTTTATTTATAATAATGTATCACTTATCTTTTTTAATTATTCATGCTTCTAATTAATTAGTAAACACTAATTTAAACAAACATTCATATCTAAATTAAGTTTAACCCTCTCTCTCTCTCTCTCTATCTATCTATCTATAGATAGATAGATAGATAGATAGATAGATAGATAGATAGATAGATAGATAGATAGATAGATAGATAGATAGATAGATAGATGGACAATCGCAACTCTTTCTTCTATCTTTTATCTTTAAAGATAATGTACTAAGTTAATCTCTTTCTTTGAATGAAATAGAAAAAAAAAAGAGAACGAACTTTATTTTCTACTTTGCAACAAAGAAAGTCTTTTGATGCCATTGTTTTTGGTCAAAATAGATTGGTGAACTACAATTTATATAGTTGCAATGAACCTTGTGTGTAATAACTAATGTTTTCAAAATTAATGTGTTATCTGTTAGTTTTCAGAATTCAGGTGGTTACCAAGTTGATTAACGGTTATCATCTCATTTTTATTATCCTGTTGATATTCAAAACTCCATTTGATTTGTCACTGTTGAAATGAATTCACTCTGAGTGAATGTTTATGACAACAAACAATATCATAAACTCAATATTTCTAATTTAATGTATAATCCGCAATCATAAAAATGTCTATAATGAAACTAACAGTGTTGATATAGGCTTTCAAGTTCTTAGTAGCCCATTTGTTTTACATGTTATTGGCTTTTAGCTCATTTATTTATTTGATTTCTAAAATACTAACAAAATTATAACTCAAAATACTAAATAACGAAAAATTATAAATAAAAATTTTGTTCCCTCTTAATTGGCACTTGATTTTATGTTGTTTATTTAATGTACTACAAAGTATAATAGGGTTTGATATTTTAGCTGAATGTAACCACACTCCATTAAATTAGTATATCTAAATGCGATAGTACAATAATCCTTAGGTACTAGTTTTATTGGTGATATAAATGGTGTAATTAACAAAATTCCATAGAAAAAAACAAACTCATACCTTGAACCCATTGTAAACTTTATTTTTGCGCAGATAAGTACATCTTTAAACAGGAATAGGTAACGCAATTTACGACTATTTGTTTTAGATGTAAGTTCAACCACTAAACTATGCATAATCAAACGATTGGAATCCTCTCATTTGAGAAAAGAAATCAAGTAGAAAAGTGTGAGTAAAACAATTAATAAAGTATAATTAATTAAACGAATTGTATAGAATTAACCGAATATAAAATAGAATCAAACTAAATGTTTTATTATTTTAATACAAAACTTCATACTACTTATATCTACATTATACGGATTCGCGAATAAATCTATTTACAATCAAAATATTTCACATCAAAGTGTATCTAATAGTAGTCAACACTCTTTTTCTATGAAGAATAACTAGTATATAATGAAACAAACAAAAACTAGGTACTAAGTTAAATATAGTTGGTGTTGTTTAACATATATCTTCCCATTGTCATTTAGGACTGTAATTGATGTCTCTTGTTTACATATGTGCATTCTATGCAGATTGCCTCGATATAGCCTTAAGTCACAAGCCTTATAAGCAAAGATGGATAGTGACTAGAAATGGAACCCAGGACGCACGTTTCGTTCTATTTGGGACTCGTCAGCTGGATATACCTATACTATTAAGTTTTTTAAAAATATAATACTTATGTATTTAATTATAAATGGTGTATGCCGAATAAAATAAACACTATTGTAATTATCTCTATATATTCTGGTTTATTTTCATGACATACCTTACTGTTAAAAGTTTTCTAATTAAACTTCACTACTCAGTATTTAAATGAACCGATTAAAAATATTCATTTAATCCGGAGCTTAGTTCTTATTAGTACTTAAAGTTCATTAGATTATGATGTTGTAGTTTAATGATTGGAAAATCCCAAAGTAAGTTTATATATGTATATTAGGAAGTAATTATGGATGCATGTACTGCTAAGTTAATTATGATCACCGGAGTCTATTTAGAAAAGTGTTTTACAGAGTTAGTGAAAATAATGAAATGAACTTATGTGGTAGTAAAGGAACTATTAAATCATACTAATGGCTAAATATGTTATTTTCACCAGAAGATTTAAATTAGGGATGAACATATCGTTTTAAATAATAATAATTGCTTTATTTAGTAATATCTGTTTAGTAAAATATAGTTTTGATTATAAGATGACGAATGATGCTGGTTGTAGTAATTTACAGTTGACTTCATACCTAATCATTTATTGCTCTAACTAATGAGGTAACTTATTTAGAAATGCCAGATGTTGATATATTTGATCATGTAAAGAATTCACATTTTCCCCCTGTTTAAAAAAACGTTTTCTCGAACAATTTTCAATCATAAAATAATTCTACACTCACTAGAATTTAACTTTATTATGTTTAAAATATAAGCTATAAGGAAACAATATTATAGGAATTGAAACCTTTGACTGTATAATAACTTAATCTCTGCTTTCCGTTTTTCAGTTGATAAATTTTATCTATTAATGACATTTAAGAAAACAGTACTCTGTAACTACATTATGAAGACTGGCTATAGTATTTATTGTTTAGATAAGTTAATAACTACTTGTCTTCCGACATTTTCAACTTATAATGAAGTCCATTCTTATAGTCAGTTCTAATTTCATGATACAATAATAGCTTATAAAAACCAGTAAATTATTAAAAATAAATCAAAATGTTTAAGCAAATAGTTTCATTAGATCTTATCCGTAAAAATCAGTCCGAATGGAGGCTATAGGAATTAGAAGGCTAAAACATAACCCTTATATTCAACAGAACTTGGTGGTTGACCTTTATGTGACCTTAAGCGTAACTGAAACGAGTTGTGATCAGTCTTCCTTTTTTTATTATTCTTCATTTATTTATGACACATTTAACAAGTTCAGTCCTGACTGTTTTTATTTTCTCATCTTCATAGATTTTAAGTTAACCTTAGTCATATCACTTAGTCAATTTATTTAAGCATCTTTTTGCCAGATCGGTATACGAAAGTCTTTCATATGAATCTATAAAGGTTGGTTTTGAAATGTAAGAAAACTAGCGATATATATAATTCTTATACCCGATTTCCCTGAAACTCCATTAGTTATCATTAAAGTATCGAAATGAATTGAAAATTTAATTCTGTCATATGATAAAATACTCTTCAAAAAAATATTGTTCACTTACATTTGTCGTCTTATCTTCTATAATATTATTTGAATTCAGTGATTCCTCCAGTAATCTCTTATAAATACTTTGAAGTTCAGGATAATGAGGTGAATCTGTATCAAGTAGCAGAACTAAAGTCTATATAAAATATTAATATATATGTATTTAGTTAAATGATTTTTGTTTTTATAAATCTAAAAGATTCTGATAAATAAACAGGCTTATTATAGCTTCTGAACAATTTCTGCATTGTGAAACGGCAATAGTTTCTAATTATAATTCATATGTATTTGTGAACTGAGTTTTCCAGTTAATGTTTAGGACTGCAATTGATCAGTCATATGTATCCTGTGTATATTGCCTCAGTACTCGCATTAAACACGAGGATTTTAAAGCAGAGGTAGATGACGCTAAACAACAGAATCCAAATGCGTGTTTCATTCTATCTTGTACTCGTAAGCTGGATGTACCTGCATCCCAAAGTTGATGTTTACTTCGGGACACAAACTCTGCACCGTTCGCTTCAAATCCCATCAGGTTATCTACTGAGCTACTGAGTCTAGTTAGTCATCGGCTTGTGAAATGAGGTGAATTTTAAGTGAACGGCACTGGATTCGAGTTCTGGAGTTTACATTAACTCTGAAGTGCAGGTGCATCCAGCTGACGAGTTCAAATAGGACGAGAGGGGCGTGTTGAATCTCATTGCTAGCCATCATCTATGTACGACTAAAAATTTTGAATTTGTTTATAAAATATTTTAGAATTTACTCCAGGAATTTATGATAGATATCCATTAATATTCAGTTTATCAGCGGTTTTCGAGCTATAATAACTTATAACAACTGACCTATTACTAATTTTGACTACGGTTAATTTTGTCGAGCCCTTTTATCTACTTATTTAATAGTAAGTGTTATTGGAACGGTAACAATTTGTCTATTTATTTATTTATGATCACTATCATGTCTATATAAACGTTTACGCCTGATCACATGTGACATAATTCTCATTATACCTTAAATGTTAATAGCTTCAATGTCACCCGATGAATCATTCTCTTCCCCATGTATATATACACTCGAATCTTATTAATCGTCTGGCCTTGCATCTCTTCGCCTTGATTCGATTTGACTATAAATCAGCCTCCGTATTCGCTCGTTCACTAACATTAGCTTCTTTGCTCCAATTCGCTCCATTTAGTTGTAACTTTTTATCTGTGCTGTCTAATAATAAACTGTACTCTCAGCTTCTTATTGCCTTTTGAGTTCATACAACACTGTGATTTATTTAATAGCGGTTATCACGGTGAGTGATAAACAAAACATAAGGAATTATCTCGAATTCAAACCAATACAAACTGTTTACTATAGATTTAATGTGACAAAATTTTTCAAGCCTAATAAAACCAAATCGAGCATTTCTCATCATTTCATAGATGGATTATGTGAAAAGTGGATTTCAGAAACAATAATTCAAATTTGATTACGACAAAGTAGGTTTCTTTGGGACTATATATATTAATTTTAGGAGTGATATGATGGAAAGAAAAGTCAAGATTCGATTGATTTACTCATTATAAGTTTTATTCAACATTACTTCTGTTTTGATTCAATGTAATGATTACTCAATGTAGTATTTATTTTCTTTGCTCGTATGATATTTTACTCTGTATAATATACGATATTCTTGCCGATTGTAGACACTATAAAAGTAGGCTTCATAAGAACCGTAATGAAAAGCTATATATTTTATTAGTTCTTCTGGGACGTTATTGATTCTGACAACTATGGATTCGACTGCAGGTTGTTTTGACTTTTGAAAGACCATAACTGAATTTATTTAGTTAGAAAATCCAGGAAAAATTCATTTTACAATTTTTAGAACTCCTTGTTCATTTAACCAGTACTTAGCGAATAGGTATTATATATTGGATAGTGCTTCTGAAACTGGTGAGTTTTTATATTCATCCTCTAATAACTACAGAAAATAAAAATAGTGTTTCTTCGTTTTAATTCTATCTATGTATTTGGTTTGAAGAGGCCTAGATTTTCAGAGTTAACCAGAAAAGCATTTTGATTATTTGTATTTCATACTGATCTTATAAATAATAACTTGGTAAGGTAATGAAGATGGTAGTCTTAAATAAAGTGATGTAGTCGTGATATATATTGTAGCGCATACACATCACACTTCTAAGATCAACTTCATCTTTTAGTTACACTATCGGAATTTATAGAAGGAACCAACTGACTGAAGTTTAGCTATCGATTTGTTTTGATTGTCACGATAAAACTATGTTAACAAAGTTGACCATGTTATTAGAATAAAATTAATATCCTTGATGTCACATCTTTCTATTTATCTAAGTGAAGTCTGTATTGAACTATTTATTAACTCAAATCAATGTAACTTGTAACATACTTTTATATTTTCAACAGTCTGAGTAATCCAAGTCGTTGGCTCCTGAAGTCTAACTTGAAGAAAATAGATGAGAATGTAAAAAAAGATATGAAGAAAACTTCATTTATGGCTTTGTTTCCACAGAACAGTTACGCGTGACATAGGTTTGATGAGATAAAACTAAGACTTAATTTTTTTCAATTCGATTGCTATAACCTGAAAATTCTTATTTGAGTCAAGTCTTTCAGCAGCTTTATTCGTCTTCTGTACCTTCAGTGAGTCAGTATTAAAAACTTTATAGTTAAGGTAAACCTTTTTTTAACTTGACAAGTAAACTCAACAAGTATTCACTCAAACTTTGTAGTCTATAGGATTATTCAAACTCTATCAGTCATGTTTCAACACAATTACCATTGTCAGTTAATGTTGTAATACATCCTTCTTTGTGTAAGGTGGTCACGAACTATAAAAGATTAACAAAATATCAGTTGCCACTTGCTTAGCTTAGTGACAAAGTCTCTGATTTTGATGTGATAACATTACCCGAATATATATTGAGAGCATCAGTTTCATCAAGATTAACGACAAACTTTGGAGATGAATGAGAACTAACACATAAGTGATTATTATCTCTAACTAACCATATATATTAACGCAAGTAGATTTAAGTAACTACATAATGAAGAATTAATTTATTTTAACACAATCGCAACTGGTATATCTATTACGGTAGCTCATGTGGAATATTTGTTTAACAACAGTATTTATTTATTTATTTATTTATTTAACCTGATATAACCTATTAAACTTCATTTCCTTTACTGACATGTAATTATATAATTTTAAAAATATTATAACCGAGTAAACTTTTTCGAATATGATGCCCTAGTAAAGCTTAACTATGAAAAACAAACATTTACAAACAATAAACCTACGAAAGATTATTAAAAATGAAATAAATAAATATTGCAAGTTTCTTTTCCTTATATAATTTTTCAGTAAGAGAAATAGGTTCTATCTACTCTTAGAAACAATCATCAAGTTAACTGGTATACTTTTCATAAGTTAATAGATTTAAATATCTGAAAAAATAATTGGACAAATTTTACTATTTCACAGTTTGTATCATAGACCGAGTATAGTTAAACAGTAACTAAAGACCAGTAAGTAATAGACATCTGTATAAAATTAAAAAGTATCAGGGGTCCATGATCCCATTGAGTATTGAACTCAGGTCTCACACGGAGTACTCAATCTTTGAATCACTAAATTCCCACTCAATATTTCCTATGTTTGACTTCGAACAATTTTATCATCTTGAGGATTATTGTGATGAAGTAGTAATTAAACAAAAATGAGATACATTCTACAAGGAGATAAGACGAAAAAAACAAGAACATTTCAAGAACTTACATGAATTCAGTGACTTCTGAAATTTTAAAAGATAAATATTATATGAAACAATCAGTTTTTTACATAATACTAAAGTAAAAACAGTAAACACCTATTTGTGATAATCATAGAAAGTAGGGATGATTAGTTAACCAAATAGCACTATTATTATTGATTTAACCGTTAGTGATTTATTTTAAATTAGTAATTAAATGAAGCATCCAAAATACATACTGAATCATTTCATTATAATGACGAATAATTTATTTACATGCATAACTTCTATATAAAGTTTTACATTGAGGCTTGAAAACTTAATTAATTTGAATCTAATAATTAAGACAATTAGTGTAACGATAACCAGATTGTGTATTCAATTAAAATCCCTCCCCATTGAAAAAAGCATATGATTAAGCACTTCGTCCAAAAATGATTTTATTTTCGACGATTTAATTTGTAAATACTATAAAATAGGGTTACACATGTTTAGATCCCATAGACAGAACTAGCTAACTAAAGATTAAAGAACATACTTTGCTGATATGTACCAACTAACAAGAAAATTTGTTTCAAACTGCGATACAATCTTTCTCCAATCATTTTGATAGAGTTTTGTTCTCTGAGCTGGATGGTTTGGTCGCGGAGCTTTCATCGTTTGGTTTTTGTTCCAATGGGAGATACAACCAAAACAAAGAAGTAAACAATGACATGTTTAAGGTCAACAAGAACCAATCAACATGGATGTCTACAGGACAAGCTGTGAACCACATATGGAGAAATTCGAACGTTTCACTTCTATCTGATGTTTGTTCTGATGATGTCGTTCAGAAGAACAATGAAAGCTGCACGATCAAACCATCCAGATCAAAGAACGAAACTCCATCAAAATCATCTACCTGAGTTACAAATCTTCTCCACCATTTCTCCAATCATCTAAAAAGGACTCAATTCTATTCAATTTATACTCTATGGATTTTCTTTTTTTGATTCCATCAAAATAATAATACTTTGTTGTTTTCCTTCTGATTGTTTTTGTTTTCTTCGTTGAATTAGTTTATTCTATTTGACTGCTAATAGGTCATTTCAATTTTTAAAAATTTTTTGATGAGTTCTTTCTCTTTGTTCTCATCATTTATACCGTATAATTTCATTTATAAAACATTTTTTATCATATAGATAGTTTCATTAATTCGCTCCAACAATATTTCAATGTTCATTTCATTTAATTATTGATTCAATTGAATATTTTTCTTTGATAAAAACAATGGTGTTCTTCGAAAAAAGTTAACTAATTTTTATTATTAAATATTTATTTTTTACCATCATAGGGTTTGTGGAGAGATAATGAACCGATTATTGTTAGACCTCCATTGGAAACCTGGAAGCACTGGACGACCGTTTCGTCCTATTGTGGGACTCCTCAGCAGGGTGCATCCACGACCCCGCTCGCGGAATTCGAACCCAGGGCCTTCATTCTCACGCGCGAACGCCTAACCTACTGGATCGTCCAATGCTTCTAGGTTTCCTATGGTGGTCTAACATCAATAGGTTTATGATTTCAATCAAAAACTGAATAATCTCCACAATCCCTATACTGGTAATTAACATGTGCTCACTAGTGACTAGCTTCGTGAGAGAATTCTCGGAGTTCTAGTGAGAAGCCGTGACCAGTGGAGTTAATCCGTGTTGGGTAGAGACAAGTATCTACCTCAGTACAATGAAGATGGTGGCGCAATTTCGTGGATTGGTTGAGGTTAGACATTAACACCATTGGATGTCAGCTCAGTGGTCCAGTAGGTTAAGCGTGAGACTGAATGTCCAGAGTTCGGACATCATGAGTGGGATCGTGGATGCGCACTGTTGTGGAGTCTGACAATAGGACGAAACGGCCGTCCGGTGCTTCCAGGTTTCCAATGGTGGTCAAACATCAATCGATTCATGATCTCAATCAAAAATTTATTTTCTAAATTTATCAAAAAATTATTAAAATCATTATTATTTCTTTCAATAAAAATAAAATTATTTAATGTTAAGATGTAAACATTGATAAAATTAATGACTTTTCATAAGACTAATCATATTGTGATGTATGCTACTGATACTGACATATATAAGTAGTATGTATCATCAATCAAAAGTAAAATGTCTGAGGGTGGGGAAACAAGTTTAAGAATTTCGAAGAAAAGAGAACGAAAACAAGAAATAATTGGTTTGGAAACGAAGGGATGATCAAGTCTGCGACCATTGATTGACATTTCGCAAATGAAGTATTTACTGTATCGTTTTTACAATTTACTAAGTGATTCTGTAAGTTTGTATTTAAATGCATTCGGTTGTTCCCCACAAGCATTCTCGTTCACTGCAATACAACTAACAGAAAATGACATTTGAATATCAGCTGGCATTCAGAATCCCTGAGTTGAGTCTTCAGCAAAAATGTGTATGTTAGTAACATAATTTTCATTTGAAAGTGTAACTAACTGAGGAAATTTTGATGGAGTCTTGCTCTCTGATCTGGATGGTTCGGTTGTTGAGCCTTCATTGTTCTTCTGAACGACATCATCAGTACAAACTTCAGGTAGAAGTCTCATCATCTCAAACTGAGGTAGTCATGATCTTATAATAAGTATGGTATTATTGAGCAATATTCGCAGCAATCAATATTTAAAATCCTTACCATTAGTTTAGACCTACTTTAATGTTACTCATCTAATGGTAAGCTTACTACTGAATAACTAGATATTCTTTTATTATCTTTGAATGCGAGTCTGTTGTGTGTTGAAACAATGATAGGAATGATGATGACATTACCAGAAGACAGTGATATAATATGTAAATGTAAACCATCGGATTAAATCGCAACGACGCAATGAGATCATGGTCTTAATAAAACCTATAGGATTTGATCTTGAATCCCTATGTAATTATGAATTAACCTTTACTAAATAATCATACTCTATGAAAAAATATATGACCGGTGCTTCTTGGTTTATTCTTAGTCTTCAAATGATTTAAGTTCGTAGTAAAAATTAATTTTAAATTATCTCTCTGTTCTTATTAGATTTTCGCCAAGTACCATATGAAAAGAAAGTATTCTTTACTTCATATATAAAAATGGTATATATACGACTGGTTTATTGATATATATATATATATATATATATATATATATATATATATATATATATATATATATATATATATATATATATATATATATATATATATATGAACGGATATGTTAATTTGATGCAGTTCTAGTTAAAACCGGATTGTATGAGGTGATATTTCAAGTAATAAAGTTTTCACTTCCAAACAAATTATTATTATTGTAATAATTTATGAAAAACTTAATACGTGGCCATTTTCTCATTCAGCATAACAAAAATATTGTATACAATGCTTAATCAAGATAATTATGATTACGAAACATTAACCAGTTTTATTTGCAGAATTGAAAAAAATAAAATAGTTTTGATCATATGATATAGGTCAATGCATTAAACATTAACACAAAAGAAATGTAATTGAAAACTAGATACATTTTCTCAGGTACTTTGTTATTGATTTTAATATGTTAGTGTTCTAACAAATCAAGCTGGTTGACAGTTAATAGCTTAAATTCTACATTTCTGTGTTTGATTTCTTTAAAAATATGATGACTGAATTCATGTTAATAAATTGTGATTTACACAGGAACCCGCATCATAAACTTTGTTGTAATTCTAAAATTTTTGTATTGGATATAACAGTATTATTGTAGCAGTTGGTTAAGCATTTTCATTAAATTAAGGATTTTGTAAGTAAGGCGAATTAGTAAATTCAAATTACTGAATAAGCGCTCGCACTCATGCGTAAGTCTCATAGGTCCTGGGTTCAAATCTCGTGAGGTGGAATCGTGGATGAGCACTGCTGAGGAGTTCCACAATAGGACGAAACGGCCTTCCAGTGCTTTCAGGTCTTCTATGGTGGTTTAGTTTCAATTAACTCATGATCTCAACTATTGAAATTACTATAATATCCACAAAATCCCTTTCTGAAATTACCATTCAGTTGGATTTTATCAATACTTAGCCAGATTGTTTTTCAATAATAATTTAATATCGTTTTAGATACCATTAAGAAAAATAGAATAAAATTTTATTGTTGACTCCTCATAAAAGAAATTTCTATATTCAACAATTTTACTTTCTATATACTGTATTTCATTCAAAGAAATGATGCGAAAATCTAAAGATGTTATTCATCCCAAATGATGGATTCACTTGAGGTTTTATCAAAAAGTGTGATGCACTAGATAGTTGATTTATTCATGTGTGCAACTCTTTACCAAATTTAGTAGCAGAGTCATCATTAAGAATTGAACCCAGAGAATTAGTACATAGGTGAATGCTTAGTTGAGCTTGACATCTGAGGGAAAACACGGCATACAATGAACAGCTTAGAACCAATTAGACGATTTGAACTTTGCAGATGACCTACCCCCCATCCCATACACACGAACAAATGCACATAAAGACAGCCAACGTAGCAGCAGTCTCTGCATCAGTCAGAATTTTCAATACGAACGTAAAGACAGTTCTATTGTACGGATTTGAAACTTGGATAACTACTACAACCATCATCAAGTAGGTGCAAGTATTTATAAATAGTTGTCCACGCAAGATACTCAACATCTATTGGTCGGATACCATCAGTAACAGCCTTCTGTGGTAGAGAACAAACCAACTTCTATCTGAAGAGAAAATTAGGAAAAGACGATGGAGATGGATAGAACATACATTACGCAAATCATCGAACTGCATCACGAGACAATCCCTAACTTTGAATCATGAATGGAAGCGGAAAAGGGGAAGGCCAATAATACATTACGTCAGATATGAAAAGGTTGAATAACAGCTGAAAAGAGCTGGAAAGGATTGCCCAGGGAAGGGTTGGATTGAGAATGCTGGTGGTCAGCCTATGCTCCTTCACGATGAGTAACATGCGTAATTAAGTAAGTGAACGCTTAGTTATTAAATCATTTTTTTTATATTTACCAGTATATATTTTTTAACTTCAGTCTTATGGCAAATCAAAAAAATTCCTTAATTCCTTTAAGATTTATGATTCATGAAATAAATATGTCATTGTTTTTATAAATTAAATTATCAGATTTATTTTCTATAGAGTAAAGTACTTGAAAAAATGTACCATGATACAATTATATATTATAATAATTTGATCATGCTTAAACATAAAAGATTTATGTCATTTATGCAGAATGTTTATATATAAATAAGAACAATAGTTTGTTGTTTTCTTTATAGAATAAAAAATAATTTATGATAATTCATATTTACTCAAATATTCCAAAATGTTAATTTGCATAATTTATTTTGTAAAGAAAAGAAATTCTTATCATGCTCATGTAAAAATACAAACAAATAAAAGGAAGCGTTATGAATTGGAGATTAAATTTACTTTTAAGAAACTTTTATAGATCTGTTGTTTTTTGAAAGCTTATCTGTATCTGTAATGATGTTTATTTGTTATAGTTTCAAGTGTTTGCTGAAATCACGAATTGATATTAACTAGATCAATACTAAAACCCTATCTTAATGTGAAACTTCTCAGAAATATGGATCCATAACTTCGCACGCGGGAACTGGATACAGAATATTCAATCGTTTTTGTAAACACTTAACCTCTAGATTACTCAGTCGGTATCCAACGATATTAATGTAGAACTTCAACCAATCTATGATTTCGTGCGACTTTTTATCCATTGCCTGAGATGAATAACTGTCTCACGCCTAATTATGATAGAACTCCATTGGCCACGTTTTCTCATTGCAACTCCAGAAGCAACATCTTGAAGCTAAAATCGTTGAATAGCGGCTCAGTAGACTAGAGGTTAGGTGTTCGTGTGCGAGACCGAATATTTTAGTTTTGAGTCTCGAGTGCAGAGTCGTGGATGCACATTGCTAAGGAGTTGTACTAGGGCGAAACGGTCATCCAATGCTTTCAGGTTCTCAATGGTGGTCTATTTAAGATTCATCGGTGATTTAAATCTCAATAATCTCGAAAAGTCTCCATATTATGTAGATTTGTATAAAAAGGAAAAATATAAACCAGTACAAAAGAAAGTCATACCCATTACACCATTTGCTACCTACAAAGACTCAAGACCTAAGTGGATAACGTATTAGGGGTTCTAAGTGAAAAGTACTGCATCCGAGTCTCAATGTGAAGGCTAATTCTGGAATGCAAGTGTATTCGTTTGGCAAGTACGAAGTTCACATCATGAATTCCACTGTTAGTAGCCATTCAACTTTACTAAAATCTAATAACTTGACAAGGATATTGAGGCAATCCGTTCAGGATGCACATATGTCAACAGAGACAAGATGTGTGACGTTCTCAACATCAGTAACAGAAAAATACAAACATTTTACCATTCAAAATTAGTGCTATATAATAGAAAAAAAATGCAACTAATATGCAATTGTAAATGAATATTGGTTATTTATTACTCGTTTGTCTAAGAAAAGTGAACAAGATTATTCAAAATCAGTTAGTAGTACATTCATAAACCAGAAGAAGGTATGATGAGATCACTTTAGACGTACTTTTCATAAGTAAATGAAATACCTAGGATAGTATTATAATTTTATATACCATTTTATTCGATAACAGAAATTTGATCTAAATGCACCAAACCCTAAAATATATTTTATGGTTACAACTGCTTGCTTGTCAGCAAACGATTTAATGGTTAAGAAAACAAGTTACTTAAACTAAACATAGAACCGTCCTTTCTCACTAGAAGGATAATAAGCATCAAATCAAAATCGACAATGTGTAGTCTGTTTCACATCAGACCTCATATAATTTACTGGAAGATAAAGAATTACTGTTCTTTTACATTATAGGAATCACCGAGATCTAACCCCAAGAAACTTAACTTTTTACATAACAATATCGCTTCATAATTGACCAAGTTAGTCACAACAGCAATAAATTTTAACCTCTCATCTCAAAACCAATCTTACATTTATATGCATCCTTAAATGATCTTAGCTTTTGACTTTTATTTGGAGATCTTTACAAATTCAACACAGAAAATAGCTTCTCAACAAAATGACAACCAATTAATTATTAGACGAACGTTTTCAGTCCACTCCATCAGTGTTTTAATCTAACCTACCGTTTGCTGTTACTATTATGTGGTCCTGAACAATAAATTTAATAGCGACCAACTTTAACTACTTCATTCTCTGAGTATTCGTTCAATGGCTAACAATGGATAAATCCTAATTACAAGTCACATTCAACTGATAAAACAATTTATATTTACAACGTTGATTCACCATGATGATCAGATTTATATGATAACATAATTCGATCACAGAATAGCAGCAAATGTAATATTTTCTAAATGGCAATACCAGTTAAATTCTGAACGCTGCTACTAAGCTAAACGACCCAAACTTGTAGTTCGGTTTGTTTAATATCAGATATTTGAAGAGAAAGAACAGGAATTAAACAACCACTGAGTTTTTCCATTAGATCGGCTGATACTTTATAAAGTGTGTTGGCTTAAATAACATGAAAGATTTAAAATTTTGAATGTATAATGTTTACACCACAAATGATTATCATATTCAACTTACACTATCTAGAGTATCCGATTTTTCAGGCTTTAAATTTTTCAGAAGTTTTGATATTTTGCTAACATAGTTTGATATTTCTATTTGACGATTGATCTGTATTTTAATTAAGAAGGTAGAATATGCAAATCACTCATAATGTTCTTTAAAAACAATACATTTCAATGCTTAATAGATGAGATAGCAATTAAAATTATGTAATATTATGAAATAGAACTTGTGAGAAATTAAATTTTACTTTCCGTTTTTTAAAAACAAATTTTCAGAATAATAACATTTTACTTTAAACGTATATCAACTTCCTGAAAACATGTATTCATCTGATCTATTGTATGTTTATGGCCGAATAATAGTTAACTAAATATTATAAGTAAATATTATAAGTAATGATCTTACTATTAAATAATTGTACAATAACATAGATTTATTAATAGACTGAAATGAAAGTATAATAGTCCATCGTAATTAATATTATTCACATAGTGTTAATTGAATTATTAATGTCCAAGAGAACGATATTTTGACTCAATATTGATTTCTAATTTTTTTTGTAAATAATATCTCGAAAGATAACAAGGTCATAAAAATTCTTTATGCTTGAAAACAATAAATTTAGCTGGAATAGAGGTTAGTATACCAGTAATAAATAGGTTCTAAATGGAACAAGTAATAACTTATGAGTAACTATTGTATTACAGATCTGGTATTCTATTGATCTATTTTTGTTGGACCTCTATTTTCTTAATTACTGATATCAATGACAATTTCCTTTACACTGACTAAACTTATAAGATTCATTGTAAAAAACAAGTACACATAGAAGGTTTATGCTCTCTGTAAATTAGAAAATTAATCTGTTTTATTTGTAGGGTATCTATATCTATGTATCACCTAGGTTTATCTAATCTCATATGTAAGATGAACATTACCAAAAATAAAAAAAGAAATGAAAAGAACTTACCAATAATTTGAATGGATCAAGAAAGTTTTTATAATTAATATCTCCATTTTGTAAACAAATTTTTAATCCATGAATAAAATTTTTTTGTATAGTTTCAATTGAATTAACAGATGATCGTATTGTCATGATCTCATTTGTTGTACGTTTTTGTTTAATAAAATCTAATGACTGTTAAAGAAGAAATAATAATAATAGTAATAATAATGAAATAATGATCTATAATTATTTTCAATCAATTATACACAAGAAAAATGTAATAAAGTATAAAGATGTTCAATCTTTCTTGTTGATAACGTAATAGTGTGTTAAATAATAAGTTTACAAATTCAGTTATTCATCATAATGATTGTAAATGATTAACAAAATAATTAAAAGTTTTTTATAAATGGACGAATTGGAGTGTTTGATTTCAGGATTGATAGTAATATAATAGATAACATTATTTGATAAGTACAATTACAATAAGAGTTACGTAACAAAGAATTTTAAGTTGAAGAATTGATTATAAATAGACCCATAAAATATTTAATAAAAAGTTTATTATTAACAGCAAGTAAATGATCATGAAGGCAATATTACAGCTTCATAAGAAAGTCGATCAAATAAATGAGCATGTATAGGGCTCTTAATTGATCTTACTAGTTTTTCTTTTACTTAGCCAGGTAGGAAGATGTTCAGAAATACTGTGATGGATTTGCTTAATGGTTCAACCAATGTGACTGGCTCCATAAGAGAGATGTTCGTTATTATTTTTGGTTCTATTGGTCGGTCAGTTATAAAATATGGTATGTTGCATTCAATGTTCTTTGTATAGCTTTTCTTACTCGATGTATTACTTATTAATTGGAAGACTTGTTTAGTAGTTTTAACTTTAGAAAAATCGACTTCTTTTAAGAAACGTAGTTTCTCTGACTTTGTCTTATCTTGTGGTATGTGCTCATTGATAAATTTAATGAATAAGCGTTCATGCCGCGTAAGTCGTGGATAGTACTTAGCTTACCTTCAATAGCATCATCAAAGCAAGTAATTTTCTCATTGTGTTAAACTCATCACTATGTTTCTTTTGTAGATGGAACTTACAGAATTTTAAAAATGAGTATACTGACCAATTGATGTTGATTTTTGTTATATATTTCTTTATAATGCTCCATTTAATCTCCTTGTTAACGAGATGTCTAAAAATGGTATACTTCCATTATATTCTTCTTATGGTATGAACCTGATAGTTGGGTGCACGCATTTAAATCTTTTAAGTAGAATAACTTTGTCCATTGCATTAATAGTTAGTTTATAAGTTTCGTCTATGTGGTGGAACTAAAGTGGTAGCTGATTTATTTGATTCTTAAGTCAACTATCCTCTAGTTTTACCAGAAAAAAGTCAAAGACAAGTGAATCCAGTGAAGAACTCATTGTTAATCCATCGGAATGACCATAAAATTTCATGTTGAACTAATAATGCATGTTCATTGGGCACCTGAGGATTAATTCGTTCAGTGTAGAAATAGTAATTCCGATTCATTTTTTGCATTAAATTCACCACATATATTATAATCAATCCTTCAATTACATTTTCAAATTTATTATTATCCAACTGCTATTAATATTAGATTTCCTACCTGAATACCTTATTAATTCTATGAAAATACTATGCTTAGACCTGAAACCATACACCCTAATTTGTTCATTTATTAAGACTTGATTAATTATCACATTATCCTTCTCTATCTTTTAATTGTGTTTGTTAATCATTTGAACTTATTACGACGAACAATTGAATCTGTAAACTTATTATCGAACACTACCACTTCACTAGTTATTACTAAACAAATATATATAATTTAGAACTTGAATTCATGAGTTAATTAAGGCTACACCATAATGGAAAACATGAAAGCACTCGACGGCTTGGTTGAAGTTGGACACTAACACCATTAGATGTCAATTCAGTTGTCTACAGGTTAAGCATTCACAATAGGTCCTAGGTTTGAATCCCACGAACAAGGAGTCCCATACTAAGATGAAACCGCCTAACAGTGCTTCCAGATTTTCCATGGTAGTCTAGCTTTAATTGACTCATGAATTTAACTATTAAATTACTAAATTCTCAACAAAACCTCTTTTATAGGATTAAAATTTATTCTTAAATATACATAAACCTTACAGTTTATCTGGAAATAACATCAACAGATGAGAGTATTGCAATGTTTTCATAACAATCCTTTATTTCATAAAATGCTTGCTAATTTACTCCTTTGTTAATTTTTTTTATTCAAATTTATTGATTACTTATTTGTAAATTATTTTCAATGTTCAATTGATAATATAATTGGAAAGAATATATCTTAACATAATTTTTGTTTTCTACATATCTACAAAAATATAATTACAATGGTTACTAAGACATAGATTTATCTAAAAGTTACTATTTAATGCTTATGAATTAATAATGTTCAGTTCACATTTATTGATCATAGAATAATTAATAATTAAGATCATATTTTGTTAATTATGTTATCTATTTAAATGTTACATTTGTGTGCTTTATGTCAAGGTGATACATTCAACTCATAAACTCAAATAAACATTAGTAAAAAAATAAAGAAAAAAAATTTCCAAAGTGATTGTATGTTCTTATAAACTACATATTTGTTTATTAATAATAATCAATGTATATATCTATTTAAAAAGAAGAGAAAATATTAGGAGTTGACTTTAGTCTGTACATCAAAAGCTTATAATATTTCACTATTCTTGATTCAGTTCATCATTTAAAATGATTTGTAAACCGAACTTCTGTAAATATTTTTAGGTAAAATAAATATTAAGTAATTACATCATTTCAACTCAATACAATGAAACGATAAACAGTCAACTTATCTATCTTTTCTATTTTACATTTACTCTTAATGACTAAAAGAATATAATGAACATTTATATGGATATACACTAGTGTTTTTGATCAATTAAATAATCCTTCATATCAAATCATAGAAAAATGTGTAGACTTTTACCGTTTTAATTTCTTCCAAAATCTTTAAATGTTGACTTTCATGTTTATGAAGGTAGTCCAAATGTGAACGAATTTTGTTTGTGGTTTCCTATTAATTTTTCATTAAAAAAAATTAAAATCATTATGTTTTATTCAGAGTACTAGAAATGTTATTATTGGGAATCGAAAACACAAAATATTTCGTCTCAATTAGTGACTGATTTTGATAAGATGATTAAACAATTAAGTTTATACTGGTTGTTGTTGTCTGTGCCAAATCATTCTTATTGAAAATCAAATTCTATCGACCAAGTTGTAATGAGGCCATCAGTCTAGGTGACTCAAGATCGCATGAGCTATGTTGAGATGTAAGATTGTGGTTTAGATGGTTGACAGGTAACCCTGAACCTAGGTTTCATGCTATTTTGCATTCTTCAGCAAGGCGTACTTGTAACCTTGGGGAAAACTGATGTTCCTTAGTGGATTCAATCGCATATCAATCGGCTTCACAGTCATACACGTTACCGTTTAGCCATCAGGGGTGTGGCTGTTTCCCTGTATACATATGATTTCTTGTCGACCACCTCTAGTCACCACCTTACATTTTAATATAACGCTAAGGATGCTAGATTGCAACGTGATGAATAAAAATCTATCCGCACTAAAAAGAACCTGATACACACAACATTGATAATTATCCAGTGGTAGGTCATTTGTAAATACTTCTCAGTCCTACATGAGGTTAGTTCGACTCAATTTTTCTATTACATTATTTTGTTCTTCACTGTGATCTACACATATCTATTTTCAAACAACCGATCTTAGTTGTAGGGATTTCTTCAAGGACTCATTATTCTGCTTTATTTGCTGTTATTCACTACATTCAGAGAATTCCAATTATAACATTCATATTGTTCGAAAACAGTTTGTTATACAAAGTTAAATTAAATGAAGAATATTTCTAAATTTGAGTTTATTCTGTTTTAATCTGGATCTTCTAAGTAGTACCCATTCATGATTCTACACTTTGTCAAACGCAAAACTCTTACATCTCACAGCTAACAAGATATCATCTACTCACATAGCTGGATTCTGAACAGCCTAATTCTCAAATTCAATCGATTTGCATAACAATTAAGGATTGCTTAATGAAGCTAAAATAAAAATAAATCTCATCTCACGCAAATATGATTGCATAGATGTCAAAAAACAACAATTATCCTGGGTTCGAATCTCTTGAGGCGGGATCGTGGATGAGCACTGCTGAGGAGTCCCACAATAGGATGAAACAGCCTTCCAGTGCTTTTAGGTCTTCCGTGGTGACCTAGCTTCAATTGACTCGCGATTTTACCTATTAAAATATATGGAAACTCTCAAGCAATAATTGATACACTACGTGGAATGTTACGTTAAATGTTACCTTTATGTCCATATAGTCTTCATTGTTCAACAATTTGATCTGTTCGCTTTCAGTGACTAAATTTATAATTTATGAAGAAGAAGGAAATTAATGAAATTATAATTCTTATTTAACACTTAGAATATCCAGTTTCACCGAATAAAATCGAGTAATTATAAATTCAGTGGTAGTCAGTTTCTAAATTTTCATTTGACTATAATTAAATTTACGTTGACATTCTGTGATTCGTACACATCAACTATGGTTTCCAATCCGAGATCATCATCCAGCAAGCTACAGTATCATTATGATTTCAAATATCAATTAGCGAGAATATACAAATGTTACTTTTTGCAATAACTGACAAACTGATTTTCTTGTACAATCTCCACTCGTTACATCATCTTTAAAACGTACTGTGAAGAGATGTTAGTTACATTCTAATAATACTGCTAGTGCTAAAATCGATTCCCTTTATTGTTTGACTAAACGTGAACTATTTAAATCGAAAGATTTAAATATACAGTCAGCTCAAATAAGAATATTCTCTTATGAAATTTGTAGTTTTTCATTTATTAGTAGAAATGATAAAGAATATACACAATATGAGACTATTAACTTTCTGTCATGATTTCAGTGATAATTTCTGATGTGAATCACTACAGTTTATTAGATAATCAAAGAAATAAGTATTTCAAACATTATACCGTCTAAACACATGGTAAATATGTGCAGGGAATCTTTTGAGAAATTCAAATCAATTAGTTCCTTTGATAAATTTCGATAATGTAATAAGAGGACGAAGATCATACAACACCACAAAAGCCGAGTTAAGATCAATCTTATGGCTTGTTTCGATTATATGTTTAGCAATAGAGAATGATGGATGTTTATCCACTACTCTTATTGAATCACTTGATTCTATTTGTTTCTGCAACCATTTTGGTACATGTTTACACACCTTAATTTTGAGATCACGATTTCTCCTCCCTATGTATATATGACCATACATTTTAAATGGTAAACACAGTGAAATGTGATATCAAATAGTTCTGATAATCTTTGTCTTCTTTTTACATTATCGAAACATGATAAATACTTTAATTTAATGGCTTAGTGAGTAATTCCTTGAAGTTTTAATAGATAAATAGCATTACTAAGGTTTGACTTGATAATTTTAAATAAATTGAGTATTAGGTAGATGGTTATTGATAAAATAATATATTTGTAACATTCCAATGAGTAGAAAAATAAAATTTTACTGATGTTTCGTGACTCAGTGTAATCCATTTCTTTAAAGAATAAACAAGTGAAATCAACCTACGTTTTGTTTATTTATTCTCTGAAGAAGGGGTTGACATTGAGTCACGAAACGTCACAAAATTAAAACAAATTAATTTTTCTACTCATTGAGATATTACAAATATATTATTTTATCAACAAATTCAATAAATAGTAACTAGATTTTATTGCCAATAAGAATATTAACATTGTCATTTTGGTACATCTAACTGGCAAGTCTTAAAATATTAAAATAAACTGTAAATTTCTATGTTTCTTATTATCCTTTGTAAGAAATATCTTGGGTTATGCCGTAAGTATCTTCAAAGAGATCGAATTTATCACAATAATGCTTAAAAAAGACACTAAGAAGAAATATATTAATTAAGAAAGATATGAAGTTGAAAAATCAATTACTAAATAGAATCAAATTACATAATTTAAGACAAATGCTGTTAAAACAGTTATCAGAATAAAGTTAATTATGTAAGAACAGCTGACTAGTTTATGTACACATAGTGATCGAAACTTTAACAAAACAAAAAAAACTATCAATAAAATTTATCATTTTTTAACACCAAACATTGTCACATTGACATGTTCATGGCTTATTGTAGCATTTGTAATATGATACAACAATTTATACAGCCTAATAATGAAGTTATTGAAAACAATTGTTTACCTCAATACTGTTATTATTATTTTAAAAAATGTTTTTTAAATAATAAACTTACACGATTCATTATGACTAAGCAATTCATGTATGGTTTTATTTTGTGAATCAGACAATAAATCTAATGGTAACAAATCAATGTTGACTGGAGTAAATTTCAATGGGATTGGAGCATCTGGTATAGAAAATTGACGATTCACAGATCTAAAAATTTATAAAAGATTGAATAGGAATTATGAACTTTAAGATTATACTTGAATTTGTTTGAATTTGTATGCAGCAGACCTATATCATTTAAACTATAGTATAAACAGAATAAAACTTGATTGAGGTTAGACATTAACACCGTTGGATGCTAACTCAGTGCTCTAGAGGTTAAGCACCTGCGGGTGAGATCGAAAGCTTTGAGATCGAATCCCGCGAGCGAGATCGTGTATGCGTACTACTGAGGAGTGCTATAATAGGATGAAACGGCCGCCCAATGCTTCCAAGTTTTCAATCAATCGATTCATAATCTTAACGAAAAAACGAAATATGGTTTGATTCGATTACTTTTACCTAACTACTCAAAAATTTGTTTATTTAACTATTCATCTCTTTGTATTAACTTTTTATTTTAAATAACAAAAACGAAGTCTAGGAAATTTTTATCAGAAGCTGTTTTGTGGAGATTGTAATAATTTCAATGATTAAGATCATGAGTCAGTTGAAGCCAGACCACCATGGAAAACCTACATGCACTGGATGGCCGTTTAGTCCTATTATGGGACTCCTCAGCAGTGCGCATCCACGACCTCGCCCCCTGTGAGATTCGAACCCAGGACCTACTGGTTTCGCGCGCGAGCACATAACCACTAGGCCACTAAGCCGGCATCCAGCGGTCTTAATGTCTAACTTCAACTAATCCACGAAATCGAGAGACACATCCACCATTGTCATCAGTGAGTTACTATCCCACAACTGACCTGGTTAAAATCCACTGGACGAGACGGCCGTCCAGTGCTTCCAGGTTTTCCATGGTGGTCTAGCTTCAACTGACTCATGATCTTAATTATAGAAAATTTTTTTAAAAATAAACTTGTCATTTGTTCATGGAATACAAAATGTTTTCAAACTGTAAACAGAATTTTTTTCCGTTAATATTATATACATGACTAATAGTTTACTCTTACATTGGTTATAATGAAGAGGATGTCGTTGAATTTGTATTGATTATACTAACTAATTTATTTATGTTTTCATTGTGTGTTATTTTCTGACATCATCACCATGATCCTTTTTTTGATATTTTAAAATGATAAGACAATCTAATCTATACACTCCTTAAAATATTACTAACAATAAAAATAATTATTCATTATTCTATTATTGCAAATTCTCAATCGCTTTATAGTGATTATCTGAAGTATAACGTAGATTCAGTTGTTTCAATATTTTAATTCAAATGTACCGCATCATTTAGATATATATAACTCCACCTAGAGCCCCTCTGGGGCTACTGCTGGTCCCAAGCCCGAATAACGGAGGGATGTTGGGCATGGGGTTAGCGACACCATCCGGTAGAAAACTAACTCGCTAAAGAAAACGCTAAGCAGAAGGAATTATTCAAACCATATATATATAACTATTGTACATTTTTAAGTAAGATCGATTTAAACTGATCTATTGATTATTTATAAATGTCATCATTATGAATGATGACTGAAGTGTATTTATTTGTCAAAATTACATTGTATATGTATTGAAATAAATCAATCTTAGAGATTATTTTTGTTTCAAGAAAAAAGAAAAAAATTTTTCTTAATCACATGGTTAAAGATGTTAAGCTTTTATTTTAAACGAAAAAAAATCAATGAATTATTTCGGCAGATAACAATCAAATTGTGTACAATAATATTGATGATAATATAAAGAAAAAAGGTTATATTTACTTGTCTTTATATCTTCCCACAAAAATTTTTGATATGCTTCTAGGTCTGTAGAAATTCATATAAACAGAATAAGACTACTAATCTTTTTTTTCTCAATGAATAGTTTGTTGGCAAGATGAGGATAAATTTATTTTTACGAATATCAAATATCTACAATGTAAATATCTTAGTAATGGTTAATACGGCTTATTATTATTAGTAGCAGTAGTAGTATTTATAACTGGATTTTAGTTAGTCTCCGTTAGTGAATCACCTCAACGTTGATATTTATTCATCAGATTTAAAAAAATGATTTGCATCACAGCCAATATTAGTATCAGTAATAGAAAACTATTAATTTTTATTAATTATTATTACAGGGTTGTGGAGATTATTAAGGTTTTGATTAAAATCATGAACCGATTGATGTTAGACTACCATTGAAAACCTGGAAGCACTGGAAGGCCGTTTCGTCCTATTGTAGGACTCCTCAGCAGTGCGCACGCACAATCCTGCCTCGCGATACTCGAACCCTGGCACAATAGGACGAAACGGCCATCCAATGCCTTCAGGTTTTCAGTAGTGGTCTGACATCAATGGGTTCATGATCTTAATCTTTACTTGCACAACCGTATGTATCAAAAGGGGTTTTGTGGAGATTGTATTAATTTCAATAGTTGAGATCATGAGTCAATTGAAGTTAGTTCACCATGAAAAACATAGAAGTACTAGACGGCCGTTTCAACCGGATCTGTTCTGAGATAGTAACTCACTGATGACAATGATGGATATGTCGCTCAATTTCATGGATTAGTTGAAGTTAGACATTAAAACCGTTGGATGCCGGCCAGGCCAGTGATCTAGTGGTTAGGCGCTCGCGCGCGAGACTCATAGGTCCTGGGTTCGAATCTTGCGGGGCAGGGTTGTGGATGAGCACTGCTGAGAAGTTTAACGATAGGACGAATCGGCCGTTCAGTGCTTCCAGGTTTTCCATGGTGGTCATGCTCATGATTTTAACTATCGAAATTACAATAATATGTGTCGAAAAAGTTAGTGACTGTCTGGACTAAGTATATTTGCGGATAGCGTTTTGGTACTTGAATTGCCAGGCACTCGATTCGAGACTTATTGTGAAATATTGACAATGTGATGCAGGTATAGCCATGTGAAGAGTCTAGATCAAGATGAACAGCTTGTTCAGGATTGCACAATTGATCGCAAAGCAAGTACCAAAATCAGTAAATGTTTGTCTAATCATGAGTAGTCTAATGAACATCATAAGTCAATGACTCGATTTTTCGATCATACATATGTTTTTTTAAACATACATTCGGTAGATCAAAACAAAATGTAACACGATGTTATATTTATCTTATGAGACCTACATTTCCGTACATATATTTACCTACAATGGTAGATTTTCGAAAGACGGTATTTTACGATTATGATATTTGAAGTTAAATGCCTCTAAACCGTAATCAGGGAAACTCAGTTGTTATTATTTAAAATTACTTGAAGTGGGATAGACTTCTGCAAAATAAGTCATTTGAACCATGATGACAATAGCTGAATAATCTTTATCGTCTAGAGTTTTTGAATCACAAAAGTAACCTTCACCATTAGTAATTAGTGAAATCGGGATTAAAGTAGTCACTCTCTGGTGCAATCAGTAACGTTTATCTTATGTCACATAGTAGGTGGAGATGAAAAAGAAAACAATGTATTTTGAGCCAAAGGCTTTCCAACAAACTTAAAGATATCTGCAAGGCAGCAGAAAAATATTACGAGTGAGTTTCAAAAATAGAACCCAATAGCTATATATTCTTTCCAAGTTTTCAAAACAGAATTCCAGCTGTTATAAATTCATAATAAAAACTATCTTTAGAAGAAAAAACATTGAGAATTTTTATCTATTGAGAATTTCAGAACAGTTGTTCTAAAAAGCTACACAAATAACCACCTGGTAAATTGGTTGAACGTTCAGATACATATGTTTCAAATATGGATTTTAGTAAGTTATAATGAAACGTAGTTGAAAACGGTCTCCATGAATAAATTCACTGTCTTATCTCTGTGCTTCAACCAGTAATATAGGAATTTGGAGTCTAAAAACCATAAACTCTGAATCACATACATCTGCAAGATCCAAACCTATAATTTTTATTGGGACTTAAACAGCAGCAACCAAAACCTTAGCTTGTTAGATAACATCAAACGTCATAACCTTGAACCACCTAAAGGTCTACAATTTGTTTCATAAAGTAAAATATTATCCAATGAGTCTTACTAAATACAAGACTCAATACGTGAATTTCACTTTTTTCAATATGTTTTTAAATATATAAACATAAAACATCATAACATACACTTTTTGTAGTTTCATTGTATTTAGAGATTCTAGAGAATGAGATGAAGA